GTGGTCAGAAAGGATTTTCTGTTAGTTTGATTGAGACTGGCTTTCGTTTGGGTATGTTTGTTGAGCACTACAAGAAGATCTGGTACATTGCAGTCCTTCCTGTAACAAACGAGGAAGCCCTAAGGAACTACCAAGTACTGCCACAAGACATCCTTTTCTAGTTAGTTAACTAATTTATTGAGACAGAGTTTCACTCTGTAGACCCTGTTGGCTTTGAATTCTCAAAAACCCAGATGCCTCTGCCTCCTGACTGCACCTCCATCTTCAGCACACAAAGCATCATTTTGAGTGCTCAGAACACAGCATACACAGTGAGATGCTCTGGAGTTGTGTTTGTGGTGACCTGACACCTCGATGCGTGGGAACTCTGTCCTCACAGATGCTGTAAAGTAAGGAGAGGACTACTGATGCCTTAGTGCTGACATGCTGGTGTGAGAACTCAGCTGCAGACAATAGGGCACAATGTGTAACCTCTGCCGTCTGGACGAACTCACTTTGCCACGTGATCTTCCAGTGACTCAGAGTTCCAGAAGCTGCTTTCAAATCTTTGACACACTGTTTTCTCCTAGATGATTTCTCCTAACTTTTTCTCAGCCAAATGACAGTCATTTTTGTGTGTATATGGGGCTGGGAATTGAACCTAGGGCCTTATGCATGCTAAACAAGTACTCTTCCGCTGAGCTATAGTCCAAGCCCAGTTTTTTAAATTTAGTTTTATTTTCTGTGTGTGAGAGAGGATGTGGTGTGCACTTTGTGAATGCTACGGCATGCGTGTGGACACCAGAAGACATCCACCTTTAATTGGGGTTGGGTGCTCAGATTCGGGCCATCAGGCTTTTACAAGTGCTTTTTTTCTGCTGAGCCCTCTAGCTGGTCCTCAGAAATGTATTCTTAATGTAAAGAATTCAGATTTCGTCATTTCTTGTAGTAAGATGTTACTTAATCTGGGGCACACTTGTTTTGGATTTTCATACTGGAACATGTAAAGAACCCATATTGGCACACCTGTAAAGAGGAGGTAGGTCTGGCGGGCAGAGGGGATCCTCCGGAAATAACTCAGCTACAAAGACTGATGTGTGCAGATGATGAACACTTCCTGTTTCTGACGTGAAGCCACAGCCTGGGCTGGATGGTCCAGGCGCCTTCTGAAGCTCCTGTGTCTTGCAGTGCAGTGTGCCCTAAACCGGCCCGCCTTCTTCGCTGAGAGACTCTACTATTCCATGAAAGGTGCTGGCACGGACGACTCCACCCTGGTCAGGATTGTGGTCACTCGAAGTGAGGTGAGACAAGGCGACAGGAAACGTCAGGTTGTGCTTGATTCTGAATGGTGACTTCTTCGCTGTTCTTGATTATGAGCCCCTTAGGAATGCCGGGACCTCCACGTGAGACCGGTTTTCAGTAGTAAAACAGACTTCTGCCCCTCAGTAAAGGCAGCACAAAAGCTTTCTTACTTGAAAGGCCTGTGAAGAATTGTTTATGGGAAATTGCAAGGTCTAAGAGATTGGAGTCTTGTGAGATTGCCCAGGATGGCTAGCCTTACAGGCATGCACTATTGTTTCTGGCTTGCTCATTTATTGGCTGATTTTTGCAGTCCGGGCACTCAAACCCAGGTACTTGTGCATGCTAAGCAGTTACTCTGCCATTGAGCTAATCTCAAGTTCCAGTTTTTTCTTTTACTTGGTCATGTAAGAAGTAAAAATACCTATGTAGATTAATCTGTTTGAATATCAATGTTATTATCCTTGTAAATTATAAAATAATCTTTAAATTCGTCAGGTTTTTTTGTTGTTGTTGTTTTGGGTTTTTTGTTGTTGTGTTTCTTGAGACAGGGTTTATCTGTATTGTTTTGGAGGCTGTCCTGGAACTTGCTCTGTAGACCAGGCTGGCCTTGAACTCACAGAGATCCGCCCGCCTCTGCCTCCTGAGTGCTGGAATTAAAGGCATGTGCCACCAATGCCCAACTAAGTTGGTCAGTTTTTACTTTATATAAATATAGGCTTTACAGAACTCATCATGATTACATAATATGTCAGAAGTTTCATCTTAAGGCTGAATGACAACACACTGTGTCTAAATGTGACTGATACTTGTCTGTGCATACTTGGTGTACTTCTACCTGTGTTTTGTGAGTGATGCTGCTATGAGCATGGCACAGACTAATCCCTTCAAGTCCCTGCGACAGAATTGCTGCATGACACTGTAACTCTGTGAGCCCTGTTTTTAAATCACCACACTGCTGTCCCCAGCTACCTTCCCACCAGGGACGTGCAGGGTCACCATTTCTTGGCATCCTTACCACCACTTAGTATATTATACATTTTTACAAAGCTATCCTGTTATCAAATAACATGTATTTTTAAATGACTAACATCTGGGGAATCACAGCTGACACTGGTACCATGCCTATCCAGTGTTTTCCAAAGCGTCGAATGCAATCTTTGCTGATGGTGTCGACACAGGTGGCCTCAGCGCTATATGGCCGATAACTCTGGAATGGTGGTCATTTGGTGTTTACCCTTCCCCATTCTGATTGTTAAGGCATTACTAAACAAATGCATTCCCCTTTAGCAGATTTTTTCTGACCTACCACTTCTTACAGGTTGACCTTGTTCAGATAAAGCAGATGTTCACCCAGATGTATCAGAAGACCCTGAGCACAATGATTGCGAGTGACACCAGTGGAGACTACAGAAAGCTGCTTCTGGCCATCGTTGGCCAGTGAGAGGGATCTTTGTTTTGTTTTGATTAATGAATGAAGCTCCTGAGAGCTTCTCCTTTCAACAACGAGACCTGCATGCAGCAATGTCAACACCACCTGACCCGAGTAGCTTTCACTAAGGACTCTGTCAGGGTTCGAGCACCTTGTTACTGCCTTAATCCTGATGTTATCCTTTTTTCTTTCTATATCCAAGCGGTATAAAAACCATATCAATGATGTAGTGATTTTGCACCATTTGTAAAGCTTCGTTCTCATTGCTTTTATTTTAATCAGGATTTCAAATTGAATAAAAATCACAGTAATCCTGTGTAACATTAAAATTTTTTGAAGGTTCATTACCTCTAGTTCAAAAAATGGGAGAATGAGAATGGTGTGTTTTAAAACTGATGCTGGTCTGTTTTGATTTCAGAAGGTAGTTTTCAGTTCAGGAACACAAGTACGTAGAAGCCACAGTAACTCCATCCAATGGCTGACGCTCCCTGGCACGGACGGAGTGAGACTCGGCTGGCAGTAGTATAGGGCTTAAAAGCCACATGGTGTTCTCGATAACACAGTTTTTCCAAGCAAACTCTGACCTCTGGAGACTCTGGAGATCTCACTGGTGTTCTGGAGACTCCGTTTCCATCCCAAGGCCAGCTGTTTGGAATGATTCCCACCTTGTGGGAGGGGTGCCTTGTTGAACACCACACCGAGCTGTGGCCAAGCAAGGCTGGCTTCGAAGCGGCTGAGACTCCAGACGCTACATTATCTTGGTAGCCAGAGTGCTCCCCAGGCTATCAGGAGCTTAACTGAACCCCTGGGCAGCCCAGTCAGCTCTGTTTGTTTTGAGACAGAGCATTATTATTGGAGCTTTGGCTGGCCTAGAACGTGCTGTGTAGACTAGGCTGGCCTCAAAACTCACAGCTCTGGCCATGTCTGCCTCCCAGACCCTGCTCTTCATCTACATTGTTGTAAATTGAGGTAGAATTTCCTCTTATTTTTAAAGCTGAATACTTCATCACGTGTCTACATATCACGATTGAGAGAGAGAAAGACAGTGTGTGTGTGTGTGTGTGTGTGTGTGTGTGTGTGTGTGTGTGTGTGTGTGTACATACACATTCACGTGAGTATTGTATTTACCACGACGTGTAGAAGTCAGGGGACAACCTTTTTTTGAGACAGTCCCTTCTGTCAGCTGCTATGTGTGCTTCATGTCTGGTGTGATTACCAGATTCTTCCATCCCCCTTCTGGCCACAGCAGACATGGGCCCTGTAGGGAAAAAGGGCCTGCCAAAGAAACACATTTTGGCCCAGCAACCACAACCAAAGAAACGCACTCTGACCCTCAATCTGTGCAGAAAACTAGCCAATCCCTGAGCAGGAGATCTAGTCAGTGTGAGCTCAGGTACTGAAGTCTGACCACCCCCACCCTGGAAAGCTCCCTGGAACAACTCTGGCCGTAAAAAGCCCTCTACAAACTCTGTCTGTTCGGCTTGTGGCTGTCCGGATGCCCGGATGTCCTCTCTGTTCCCGGACTGCGGTGGAGGAGAGAGGGTTAGGGCAGGGCCGGGCTTACTGTGACCAGAGCCCCCATCCCACCCGATCCTCTGCAATGCTTACAAGGCCCAGTTTCACAAGCACTCTAGCCTGAGCACAGATCCTCACAGCTGAAACAGCAAGCACTTGAGTCATTCAGGTCCTGCTTGTAATTCTGGATAAACAATTGCGTCACCAAGCTAGACACCGTAGACGTGAGTGTTCTCTACCTCCATGCATTTCCTGTGCATCTCGTTCAAAGCCTTTGGTCATTGGCTTTGCCGTGTACCATCTGTCTCTGTTCTTTTTGTTTTGGGTTTTTGAGACAGGGTTTCTCTGTTGTAACCCTGGCTGTCCTGGAGCTCGCTCTGTAGAGCAGGCTGGCCTCGAACTCACAGAGATCCGCCTGCCTCTGCCTCCCGGGTGCTGGGACTGTCAGGCCACAGGCAGCGTCCTGAGTCACCTCCCCAGATCCGCGAGTCCGCATAGAAGACCTCAATTTTTAGTTTACTTTTGAAGGAAAGACGACTTTTATAGTGTTCAGGCTAGCAGTTTTGTCGTTCTGTGTGTGCGTGTGTCCGTGCGCTGAAATCAAGAGTCGAGACAAACAAAACTGAGAAGCGGAAAGCCGCACTTTCACCCAAACTTGGGGGAAAAAAAACCCAACACCGCCCAAGGGGCGTGGTTTCCAGAACACAAGCTCCGCCTCGGCTTCCGGGAGCGGGGGGGGGAGTTCTCGCGAGAGGCAGCCGGTTGCTATAGTTACAGAAAACCTAACGGGCTTCGGTCCCGGGTAAGCTAGCCGCTGCTCTGCTCCGCCCTCTCCCGCCCGGCCCCGCTGTGCCCACGACCCCGGCTCACCCGGAGCCCGGGCACAGCTCGCGGAGCCGCTACCTCTGCGCGCCCCGTCAAACGACAGGAGCCCCGTCCTCGCTACCGAAGCAGATGCTCCGGACGGAGAACGGGCTGAGTCCACTGCCGCGGTGAAGGTTCCCGAGCGGGGGAGGACCTTCATGGATAGGAGATGCTTCAGCGAATGAATAGCATTGGTATCCGCCTTAAAAAGAAGGACAGGAAAAATAAATAGGAAAGCAAAGACTGTGACGGTCCCGAGGTGATTAAGTGTGTGGCACGGGGAGGGGCGGGGTGGGGCGGGGTCCAACCTAAGCCAGGTCACAGACTAGACGAGGCGAGCAGCTGATTGCCTGCCCAGGCTGCAGCTTTGGCCCTAGTCCCACGGCTGAACGGTATTTGCCTGTACCTTCTGCTTTGACCTCCAGATTTATTCTCACATCGTGATCCACACATACTGTTTGGTTTGCTTTCTGTGTTTTGAGCTGTTAGCAGTCTTTTCTTACTGCCTGGAACAGCCTTCATCTTAAACTACTTCATCTTAAACTACTCTGGGTCGCCTCTCATGAGGACATTTCCCTGATGTGCACATGTACACACACAGCCTCAGATTCAGTCAGATCCCAGTTTCATCCATCCCTGCTCAATGACAGCCTGGTAAGATACCAAGCTTGTCTGAAACGGCTTCCTTTTTCCTCCCCATTCCCCAAACCTCTGTCAGGGTATCTGTCACAAAACTTATTCCTCTTGGTCTATTTACGTGTGTCTCTTCCTCACTAGGTTTTTAGATTTCTGAGTAAGGGGGCATATATCATCTTCTATGCTCAGCATTTACCCCATCCTTAACTTGATAAAGGTTGCTTGATGAATGATTTTGATGAAAATGGATCGGATTGGAATGAAAAGGAGTCCGAGGGACCCAAAGACGTGTTAGTCTAGCACAAGGAACACAAGTGAACTAACTCATATAGTACTGACTGACCAGAGAGAAAGGGGTTGACACAAAAGCTTTCCAAATATGCATTTGATGAGGGAATCACCAGTGCCACCAAGGCCCTGGAAGGATTTGGGTGAAGACATGAGCCTTTCAGGCACTGCAGGATTGAAGGGGTTGCTGGGAAAAGGCAGATCGATCTGAAGTGTGCAAGGGGCTGTCTTGTCTTTACATCACCCGTCCCAGACAGACTTAGCGCAGTGTGTCCTCACAGCTAAGTTCCACTTGAGTTTTAAATGCATTTTCAGTAACATAAAACAATGGATTTCTTTATGACACATCCCTTTCTGACTTTGTACTTAGTTTAAATTCTCTCCACTGCCCTTGTTTGTCCCTGACTCGTCCCTTTCCTCCCTTCCCCGGAAATAGTTCCATGTCTGCTAGGTTGTGCATGTGAGAGGGAGCACGCCATGTTTCTGTTCTTCCCTCCAGCTACCCTTGTGTAGCACTGGTGTCTGGCTGTGAATTCACCGTGTAGACTGGAACTCACAGTCTTTCGCCTCTGCTTCCTAAGTGTTGGGGTTACACAGGCGTGTGCCATCAAACCCAAGCAATTTGCTTTTTTAAAAATATTTTTAGGATTTATCTATTTTATGTATGCACCTGCACTCCAAGAGAGGGCATCAGATCCCCTTACAGATGCTTGTGAGCCAGCGTGGGAATTGAACTCAGGACCTCTGGAAGAGCAACCAGTGCTCTTTACCACCAAGCCATCTGTCCAGCCCCAGGCAATTTACTTTAGAAATTGTAAAATTATTTGAAAATCAGACGTGCCTTTGTTGCTTCTAAAATTATTATTTTTATTATTATTTGGTTTTTTGAGACAGGGTTTCTCTGTGGCTTTGGAGGCTGTCCTGGAACTTGCTCTGTAGAGCAGGCTGGTCTCGAACTCACAGAGATCCCCCTGCCTCTGCCTCCTGACGCTGGGATTAAAGATGTGCGTCGTCATCATCACCCCCTCCATCCGGCTCTAAAATTATTTTAAAATAGAGACGCATGCCTTTGTTGTTTGTCAAACTTCTCAGACTGGAGGAAATGAAATGTGGGTGGACACTGAGCGGTGCCAGCCTGAGCATCAGCTAGTGGAGCTGTGACAGCTGCTGAAAGCCTTTCCTCTCCAGCAGCAGAGGTGGCCAAGCGGGGATGAACACAGCTGTCCTGTGATGTGCCTGCGGCTCCAGCGGTCCTGGTTATTATGTGGTCCACACGGAAACAGATTTACTTGTTACCTTTGCAGAGGCCAAAGAAGACCAGACAGACTTTGACCAAGTGCTGACATGGAGCAGGCGCCATCAACAGTCAAAACGGTGCACATTACTGTGACAAACGGATATGACTTGGTAAATTGATTCTTTAGGAGTATGGGGGAAGATTGACATTTTGCATCATTTTTCTCCCTCTAAGCTTAGTGATCTTCTCCCCGATGTGCCTTCATACCCAGCAAATCATAATGTTGCACACTTAAACTACCTGGCCCTTTGAATGCTAAATTTGATAGGGTCAAAGCAAATCTGTCTTAGTTAGGGTTCCTATTGCTCTGAAAAGACACTGACCACAAAGGAAAACATTTAACTGGGCCTGGCTTACAGTTCAGAGGTTTAGTCCATTGTCATCACGGCGAAAAGCATGGTGGCCTGCAGGGTGCAGGAGAAGGAGCTGAGTTCTATATCTGGTTCCTAAGGCAACAGGAAGAGAGAGGGACTAGGCTTGGCTGGAGCATCTGAAATCAAGCCTGTCCCCAGGGACACACTTCCTCCAACAAGGCCACACCTCCTAATAGTGCCTCTCCCTATTTGTGGGGACCACCTAAGTTCAAACCACCACAAAGTCATTTCTGTTATGCTAAGTAATTTCCTTCCCCTACTCCCTTTCTTCTTCTGAGACAATTTCGCTATGTCAGCCTCACCTCAAATTCACAGCCATCCTCCAGCCTCAACCTCCTAGATGCTGAAATTATAGCAGGAGCTGCCACATCTGGCTTATAATTTCTTTTTTCCTTTTCTTCTGAGAAGGTTCTAAACTTTCTGAATTCTCTCAATGATTAATTTCACTTTAGGATTTCAAATAATAGACCTGCTATAATTTACTAAAACTTAGGTCAATAATGAAATGGGAATAATGAAATGCCCTGAAGTTTACAGAGCTGTTCTTTAAAAAGGTATAGTTAGCTGGGCAGTGATGGTGCATGCCTTTTATCCCAGCACTCAGGAGGCGGAGACAGGAGGATGTCTGTGAGTTTGAGGCCAGCCTGGTCTACAGAGCAAGTTCTAGGACAGCCAGGGTTACACAGAGAGACCCTGTTTTGAAAAACAAAAAGCAACAACAACAAAAGGACCTAATTAATGAGCTCTGTTTAATAATGTGTGTGTAAAAATGTATACACGCACACATATTCACAATGAAACATAAAAATGTATTCTGAAATATGTTAATAGTGCCTGCACATTAGAATAAAGCCACAGGAAATTTATTTCCCAGTGCAATTTTTCTAACTTTTTATAGATTTCTGGTAGTATAGTTTTATAATCAGATAATACAAGAAGTGATTTTTAAACTTTACCATAAACGACAAGTTGCTTTTAGCTAGAACTGCCTTTGTTTAAATGATTTTTTTTTTACTTGTCCCATTTGTATTTGTGGTGTAGCTTGTTAGAGAAAAAAGCAAAATGGTGTTTAGTTCAGGTCAAGACAGGTTGCTAGATATGTAAAACAAACCATGTCTTTGAAATTGTAATATGATGTTTCTGCCCACAGAAAGGATTTAAAGGAGACACCCCAGTTACTTTTGTTCGTGCAGAATTCAATCAGGCAGTTCTCGGAGACTCTTCAAAAATCACTGTCTCCCCAGAAGGAACTGCTAAGTACAACTTCACTACCAACTTTGAGCTCAATCCAGATGGAGGCATTACCCTGGATGACCTTGCCCACAAACCATTGTTCTGTAAGTCTCATGGTTCAAGGGCATCGTGAGGAGATTCTGAGTACTCAGCCGCTGTCATGGGAGAACGAGTATTCCTTACCCTGCACATAGGGATGACACAGCTTTCCAACATCCAAAACCGTGGCATGCGAATTTTGACAGTTTTTCATACATTCTCTTCTAGAAGTTTCCTTTCTTTTCCAATATTTACGGTTGCTAGGTTTTAGGGGAAAATGGTCTTAAAACCCACAGAACTTGATACATACTTTAAAATCGCTCATTGTTTATTTGACGTTCATGCCTGACTGGGCATCCTGTGTTCTGTGCCTGTGTAGCTGCACCATCCTGAGTGGCCATGGGTCCCCTGGAACCGGAGTTACAGACGGCTGTGAGCTGCCATGTGGGTGCTGGGGACTGAACCAGGGACCTCTGGAAGAGCAGCTAGGGCTCTAACCACTGAGCCAACTCTCCAGCCCCTATGAGTGGCCATTTTTCATTTGTTTCTCCTGCTAAAGGAAGCTCTTCTTAAGCTCAGGACTGGATTTAGTTTACTTCAGAATTTCTGATTCCTAGAGGTATCTGTAGCATAACAGGTGTTCAACGAGTCTTCACTGAGTGAATTAGATGGATAGGTAGATGATTTCAGAGCTCTATCTCTATCTCTGATATAATTTATTACATTTGTGAGCTAACTCTTTTACTTTGTTTTGTTTTAATCTATTCTCTCTCTCTCTCTCTCGTGTGTGTGTGTGTGTGTGTGTGTGTGTGTGTGTGTGTGTGTACAGGTGAGTTGTGTGCTCATGTGTTTTGGTGTGCATGCATGTACATGTACAAATTGCAGAGGCCAGAGATCAATATCAGGCATCTTCCACAATTACTGTTCGCCTTGGTGTTTGAGGTAGAATCTCTCCCTGGCTACCCAATTAGCTCCAGGAATCTACCTACCTCAAGATTCGCCACCCCACCGCTATCCTAACCCAGTGTCTTAGTGTCCTATTGCTGTGAAGGGACACCATGACCGTGGCAACTCCTATAAAGACAGTGTGTACCTGGAGCTTGCTTGTATTCAGAGGGTTAGTCCATTATCTCATGGTGGAAGCATGGCCACCTGCAGGCAGGCACAGTGCTGGAAAGGGAGCTGAGAGTTCCACATTCAGACTAACAGGCAGCAGGAAGGGAGACCCTGGATCTGGCTTGATCATTTGAAACCCCCAAAGCCCACCCCTAGTGAGACCTCTTCCAGCAAAGCCACACCTACGCCAACAAGGCCACACCCACTCCAACGAGGCCACACCCACTCCAATGAGGCCACACCTCCTACTGCCACCTTAAATATTCAAATATATGAGCCTATGGGGGGCCATTCTTAGTCAACCCACAACACCTGGGGCTGCACATGCTTGCCATGGGCTCCCAAGCTTTGTGTGGGGCTTTAAAGTCAGGTTCTCGTTGACATGTGCTTCATTCTGTTGCCTTTATATTAATCAGAAGTCTCTAGAGCAGTGGTTCTCAACCTGTGAATTGTGACAAAAGGGTAACATATCAAATGTCTGCATACATAACAGTGGCAAAATTACAGTTATAAAGCAGTAACAAAATAGCTTTATGGTTGGGGTCACCACAGCCTGAGGAGCTGTATTAAAAGGTTGCAGCGTTAAGAAGGTTGAGAACCAGCCAGGTGTTGGTGGCGCAAGCCTTTAATCCCAGCACTCGGGAGGCAGAGGCAGGCGGATCTCTGTGAGTTCGAGGCCAGCCTGGCCTACAAAGTGAGTTCCAGGACAGCCTCCAAAGCTACAGAGAAACCCTGTCTTGAAAACAACAACAACAACAAAAACAAAAACAAAAACAAAGAAGGTTGAGAACCACCTTTCTAGAGGAACAGAACAGACTAAATGAATGTATGTTAAAAGGGAGTTATTAGATTGGGTTCCATGATAATGGTTGGGATAGTCAGCCAATGGCTGTCTCCCACTGGAAAGACCAAACACCCCTTGTTGTTTACTCCAATAGACTCGGGCCTGAGTAGTTGCAGCCTGGTGTTAGTGAGTCTTTCTCTGTCCTGCCAGCCAGTTCTCAAATGTCCACACAGAGACTTTTATTCATGATGAAAGCTTTGCCTTAGCTTGGCTTGTTTCTAACTAGCTCTTATAACTTAAATTAACCCATTTCCACTCACTTACTTTCTGCCTCATGGCTTTATTACCTTTTCTCTGTATCGCCCTGTGTCTGGCTGCTGACTCTTTTCTTCTTCCCACTGCCCACTGTGCCTGGAAATCCTGCCTAGCTATTGGCTGTTCAGGCTTTTATTATACAAAGCAGAGTGACACATCTGCACAGTGTCCAAAACGACCATTCCACAACGCAGGTGCTGAAGGCCTGCATGCTTCCTGGAGATCTACTGATCTTCAGTCCGAGTGCAGGCCAGAAGAAGTTGTTCCTAAGTTGAGAGAGTCAGCAGTGGCTGCAGAAGTGTAGAATTTGCCACAGAGAGTGAAGGCAAGGAGGAATAAGGAAAAGTGTTCCTTCCCTCTTCTGTCTCTATCTTCAAGTAATTGGATCAAAACTCCCTTAGCGGGTAGCCTCGCAGCTTGCCTTCTTGTCAGTCAAGGTGAAAACCAGCACACATATCAGTCTTTAGTTTTGATTTTATAAGTCTTCAGGTTTTTTTAAATGATACATCTTAGGGGTGCTTACCAAATCCTCATATCTCAAGATCTGGAAATGCAGATAACATTCTCAACCTATGAGTCACGACTCCTTTGTGGGAGTCAAACGACCTTTTCATAGGGGTCGCCTAAGACCATCAGAAAACACAGATATTTACATTATGATTCATAACAGCAGCAAAAGTTATGAAGTAGCAACAGCAGTTTTGAAGTAGTCACAAAATAAATGTATGGTTTCAAGTAACCACAACATGAAGAACTGTGTTAAACCGTTACAGCATTAGCAAGGTTGAGAACCACCATGCTGGATCCGTAGTTGATCTCTTCTTTCTTTCCATAAGAACTCTTGGGGTCCCATAGACCGTCAACTCCCAGTCAACAGAGAAGATGGGGTAAGAGTCTCAGGTACTACCTTCTTTTTTTTTTTTTTTTTTTTTTGGTTTTACGAGGCAGGGTTTCTCTGTTTTGGAGGCTGTTGGTCCAGCCTGGCCTCGAACTCACAGAGATCCCCCTGCCTCTGCCTCCCGAGTGCTGGGATTAAAGGCGTGTGCCACCAACGCCCGGCTCAGGTACGACCTCTTAAGAAATAAGTTCTCAATGAGCATGGTGGCAGAAGCAGGTGGATCTCTGTGAGTTCGAGACCACCCTGGTCTACAAGAGCTAGTTCCAGGACAGCCTCCAAAGCCACAGAGAAACCCTGTCTCGAAAAACCAAAAAAAAAAAAAAAAAGGAAAAAAGAAAGTTCTCCAGCTCCGCCATTCCAAGTGTCAAGCATGGCTCCCTCCTCAGCTAACCGTGGAGGAATCCTTCCCAGCCTTCCTCTCACTGTCTCCTCCCTCTTCACTGTGCTGTGTGTCCCTGAAACCCACAGTAGCAGCAGTACTTGACTGCTTCCTTCCCAAGCAAAATGAATGAAGAAAGCAGAGCTGCAGACTTCCTCTAAGTGTGTACCCAAAGCCATGCGACAGACAGAAGCAGTCCCTTAGTTCCCAGGAGCAAAGCAAGAACTGACCTTGGAGACTCTGAGCAGCGGACTTTGGTGAACATGTGGGAGCCGTGAGGCCGGGCGAGGCCCAGGGAAATCAAATCCATTTGTCATCCTCCCTATTTAGAAAGAAGAAACGAGTATTTTTTGGTAATTATTAAAGATAGGTGTTTGTTTACCACACACAAGGAGCCTTATTTATTTATTTATTTTGGTTTTTTGAGACAGGGTTTCTCTGTAGCTTTGGAGGATGTCCTGGAATTCACTCTGTAGACCAGGTTGGCCTTGAACTTAGAGATCACCTGCCTCTGCATCCAAAGTGCTGGGACTAAAGCCTTGCACCACTATTGAGTGAAGCCTTTTCCTTGCCAGCCGCTTTGGTTTTTCCCCACCAGTCGCCTGGGCTCTGCCGCGTTGTAGTCCCCAAATAACATACAAGACACTGTACTAATTATGAAGCTGTTGGCCTTGCTTCTTACTGGCTAGCTCTGACAAGTATTTACTCCATAATTGTTAATCTAAGTATTTCTCTTACCAGAGAAAAGGGTCCAGATTTCTTATCCCTCTGGCAGTTACATGATGACTCCCTGTGTTTCTCCTTCCCAGACTACTACTCGATTCCTAGTCCCACCTATCTTGCTTCCCTATTGGCCAATAGTGCTTTATTGACATATACACAGGACTTCCCCATCACACTGCCACTACCCAGCTCACAAGGAGCTTTTATGAAACAAAAATTAAGCATATTCTAGGCCATAGAAAGTACAAAAGAATCAGTAGTATACAGATGGAGTTTTCTTTCTTTGGTTTTTGAGTCAGGGTTGTGATGTGAAGCCTAAATTAGTCTTGAACATGTTACACAGTCCAGATTAGCCCTGAGTTCTCCCATCCAGTACAGAGCAGGCCTGATCATCTGAGGCTTGGCATATTCAGGATGGTATGTCTGTGGACTAGCCTTGAGCTCTCAATCTTACTTTGGCAGCCTAAAGAATGCAAGCGTATACCACTGTGTCTGATAGTCTCCTCGACAGAATATTAGAGTTAATAGAATTAGAGCTCAATATCAAAAAGATAGAAATTTCATTTGAAAAATTTTATAATTTTTTATTTACTCAATCTGTAAAATATTTATGTATTTTATGTATATGAGTGACCTGTCTTCATTCACACCAGAAGAGGGCATCAGACCCCATTACATGTGGTTGCTAGGAATTGAACTTGGGACCTCTGGAAGAAAAACCAGTGTTCCCAACCGGTGAACCATTTCTTTAAATTTAAACCAAACCAAAAGCTTAGGAATGACTCATGGAACTAAAAAATCAGGAAAAAAATGGAATGTATTTGGAATTACCAAACAGTAAAACATCAAATGCCAAACACGGGTGGGGGCCAGGGGGAGAACAGGGAGTATATAAACTTAAGTGTGTTCACTTTTCTTTAACTTGGACCTATAATCTGAAGTGTGTTCATTAGAAATCAAAAGGGATTGAAACTTGTGGAATGACTGGGTAGATGCACTTTCCTACATTTCTCAGAAAGCACAACTGGACATTGTGTAAAAGCAAGTATGGTAGGCTAAAAGGTGGTGAGGAGGAACATAGGTACCCAAGGAAACTAAGGGCACACTCCATAGGTTCCCTTTTTGTCTTCTGTATGCCAGACTTCATACTTAGCCCTATAGAAACATGAGTGGCTTCAGATTAAAGAAACAAACATTTTCGTGTGTGTGTGTGTGTGTGTGTGTGTGTGTGTGTGTGTGTGTGTGTGTGTGGTATATGAGGAGAGTACCTGATGAGTCCAGAAGGGGGCACTGGATCCCCTGCAGCTGGAGAAACTGATGTTTGTAAGCTTCCCAGTGTTTCATGACTGCAATAGAAACTAAGGCAGCAGTGCACACCTGCAATCCCTGTACCCAGGAAGTAGAGGCAGGAGGATCAGAAGCTCAAGGTCACCCTCAGTCACAGAGTGAATTTCAGGACAGCCTGAGATACATGAGACCCTATCTAAAACATTTATTTCCTAAGAAGCAACAGTTTCACCTTGTGGTCCAGGCTGACCTTGAATTTGCAATTCTTGCTTCTACCTCTAGTGCTGAGATTACAGATGTGCCACCACATCTGTCAGTAGTTTCTCATGATAAATACAATAGGAAACAGTGGTTCTTTGAGATGATAAGGAGTCGTAACTGTGTTGCTAGATAGCTACACACATCATTGTTTTTACATGTATGTCTCACATGGTTAAGATCTATCTCTTATGACTTACACACTAAGAGCAGAAGTTGCTGAGTGACTTCTCACCCACTTTCCATTAGAAGTCCCCGGTGTGCCCTCTTTGGTTTTGGGATAATTGTTGCTGCTGTCTGTTACTGCTGTCTATGCTGGGGATTTTTTGGGGGGATTTACAAGACAGGGTTTCTCTGTATTGTTTCGGAGGCTGTCGGTATACTGGGGATTTTATGTGAAGCCCATACACATAGTTGCCATTGAGCTGTATACCCCATGTCAGAACTCATTTCCTTCAACCTGGACTTTGCTTGCCTTGGCTTTGCCATCTGCTGGGGTTGTTAGAAGCGTTCTCATTTTCTTTGACTCTTCTAGTAACCGTGACTGAGGTCCTACCAAAGGAAAAGAAACAGAAGGATGAGAAGACCTTAACTCTGGGCCAAGCTGTGGTGGACCTTCTTCCTTTACTGGAAGGTCAGATGTATAATCTATCCAAAAGCAAAAAAAAATAACAAGACACACAAAGCCTATACCTAACAATGTGTAAAACTCAGCCTCCATGGCTTTGAAAGGTTTTAGTGGGAAATGAGGGTGTGTGTCTGTGCCTATGGTAACTCTGACTTGTCTCCTCTTTGGCTCAACTTGACCTTACAGGAGAGGACTCATTTGAAACGGTGGTCCCATTACACCCTGTGCCGGGGTCACCCTTAGAAACTCCTTCACCAGGCTCTAAGGTAATCCAAGTTATAAGTTTTAGCGTTTTCAGCTGCCTCATGATCCAGTTATTAAGGTGGTGTTCTGGTGAGTACAATGCATTGGGCACTTCCTTTCACTATACCTGTAGTGCTAATTTCTGGTAAACAGGCATGAATGACGCTAAGTCCCACCTTGTGGATTATACCCCAGTGCGACGAGTCAATGTGGCAGAGAGCACGTATTGGTTACTTCACCCAGACGGGCAATCACTTAGGGAAGGCTTAACTATGGATGCTTCTTGAGCTGTGTGCCAGTGGGTTAAATGGTATATGACATTAAGTACTTGCATGGCAGCCTTCCTGTGGTTGAAGACTTCTAATTCAACAGTGTCAGCCAATACCTTATCCTGAATTCCAACATGTGAGACTTCGCAGCATACTGGAATTCTCTTCAATGCCACCCTATAAACATCTAGACATGCCATTCTACAACTGAACTCAGCATCTTCCCCTAAGCTCATGCTTTTTTTTTTTAATATTAGTGCCTTGGGCCACTGACAGTACCAATCCATGACATAGGACCTAAGTTACATCCATGGATCCTAACCACAGCCAGTCTCCACATCCAGCCTATTCTGCCTTCTAAGTCTTTAGACTCTTCCTTTTTTTTTTTTTTTTTTTTTTGGTTTTATGAGACAGGGTTTCTCTGTATTGTTTTGGAGGCTGTCTGTCCAGCCCGGCCTCGAACTCACAGAGATCCGCCTGTCTCTGCCTCCTGAGTGCTGAGATTAAAAGCGTGTGCCACCACCGCCTGACTCTTCCTTTCTTTTTTTTTTTTTTTTTGAGACAGGTTTCTCTGTGTAGCTCTGTAGATGAGGCTGGCCTCGAACTCACAGAGATGCAGCTGCCTGTGCCTCCCGAGTGCTGGGAGTAAAGGTGTGCGCCACCACCAATGGGCTTAGACTCTTTCTTTTTACCGTTTTCATGCTTCATTGTTACCTAGGCTTTCGCTTGGGCCGTTGTAAATAATCTTGGCACTTACTTACCTTTGGGCTGAAGGCAGCACGCTGTTTCTGTCCCTTTTATAGTCCTTTTTCTTTGGACCCACAGTTATTTTTTTCTCTATTTCCTTTGCCAATCCATGTCACAAACTCCTTTATAGCCTGTAAAAGTGGGGGGGGCAGGGTTTCTCTGTGTAGTCTGGGTTATCCTGGAACTCAATCTGGGGAGCAGACTGGCCTCAAACTCATAGAGATCTACCTGCATCAAGGTGTGCACAACCATCCCCCAGCAAGAGTGTGTCTTCTTCATCAGATTATTATTAGCAGTCAACACACAGTTAAGGGGCCAGTGAGGTGGCTTAATGAGGGAACATACTTGGCTGACAAACTTAGGACTTGAGTACAGTCCTAGAGACCACCACAGTAGAGGGAGAGAACCAAGTCCCACTAGTTGTTCCCTGGCCACACATAAATAAATAAAATGTAATTTTAAAATTATAAATAAACATCTAAGCCTTTTTATTATATTGTGCATGAAAAAATGTTAGGCATGCACACACAGAGACATACACACAGACATGCACTTAAAAAATGTCTTTTTTTAAGACAAGATTTCTCTGTATAGCCTGGGCTGTCCTGGAACTCAATCTGTAGACCAGGCTGGCCTCAAACTCAGAGATCTGCCTGCCTCTGCCTCTTGAATGCTGGAATTAAAGGTGTGCACCACCACCACCACCCAGCTGAAAATATCTTACAATAAATCACTACATTTAAATTATTAAAATAATCATAAGGGGAAACATCTTCAATCTTAATACCTGGGAGGCAGAGGCAAGATGGATCTCTCTGAGTTTGAGACCTGGCTGGTCTATAGAGCAAGTTCCAGGCCAGGAAGGGCTACATAGTGAGCCCCTGTATAATAATAGCAATAATGATGATGATGATGTTGGAATTTCCAGAATCCATGTAAAGCCAAACATGGTCCTGTAATCCCACTGAAAGTGAAGACCACTATCCAAGGTTGTCCTTTAGCCTCCAAATGCTCACAATGGCACAAATGTGCCCGAACACATACACACATGTCATACATGCACACACCCCACATAATCATAGAATGCAGGCCAGCAAAATAAAGTTCTCAATCCCATTTCATGAGTGCCAACTAGTTACGTTCAGGTCCTCTCCCATGGGTGTTTGTGTGTGTGTTCGGTATACCTGACTGTCAGAGAATGAAAAGGACTCTAGTTCAGCACAAGACTCCAGCTCTTCTCTTGATTCTTTCTTTGACTCCTGGTACTTGAGAAAAGGTAAAGTTTAAATCCTCTGGAAATAGTTGAGTTTAACCTCATCTTGAACAGTGGCAGCAATGTCAGTGAAGACCATGAGAACCTATGGCGATTTTCTAAAGTGCTATGTGATTTTATTTTATAGCAGTGCAGTCTTGACGTGAAGGTGTTTGTGGCAGAGCCCTTACTGACCCCAGCCCAGGTCTCAGCGAGCAATCTGCTGAAGGTCACCCTAGAGGCTGCCTATTCTGTGCCCGAGTCCTTCGTGCCAGGAGGGCTTCAACAGAACTACATGGTTGGTCTGCAAGTCCCGTCAGTTGGAGAGGTAAAGCCCTACTTCCAGATACTTACATGGTGGGCTCAAGAAAGCCTACTCCCTGCCAAGACTGCATTCAGACTCACTCTACAACGGCTAGGACTTATTTTAGGCTTAAAAACTAACCTTGATTTTTGTTTCATGTGTATATTTTCATAGCATTTGCTTTACATGTATATTTTTGTAACCATATGCAGCTACACAATCTATACATGGCATGTAATTTATATTAATCACTATGTAGTTACGGTTCAAAATATGTGCAACATTTAAAAGTTGCCAGGTTTTGGTATGCTTATACATGGGTTGTTTTATGGGCTTTGTATAAGTATCGCATTATGCAATGCTTCCTCTTAATTCCAGGTGTTGTTCAGATCAGATCTCTAGATACAGGAGCACATAAGGTTCCCAAGATGCAATAAGTTAACGACCCCACCCATGCTAGTGAAACAGCTGTGCATGTAAACTTTCATAACACTCATGTGCTGGGGATTTAGGGGTCCCAGAGACACTTGGCTTCCATCTCTAACCCTGGACTAGTCCGAGGTGAATCTGGATGGTTGCTTTACTATGCAGGGACAACGCCATGACTCCTGTGACACATCCCCCATGGCTCCTGTGACACATCCCCCATGACTCCTGTGACACATCCCCCATGACTCCTGTGACACACCAGTGCATTGCTCAGCTCTGACTTCAGGTTTCTACTGTTTTTCCCTTTGGGCTGCTGAGATGGCTTGTAGAGTGAAGGTTAGTTGCTGAGCCCAGTGACTTGAGTTTGATCTGTTGAACCTACACTGGGAAAGAGAACAGCAGCTCCCAAATTGGTGCACGTGCATGCACACATATGTGGGTTAATAAATAAAACACTTTTTAAAAGAGTAATTTATGTTTTATTATGTTTTCTGTAATCCACAAAGTTATACATTAGCACAAATACAACGAAAGGCACAGACCCCTACTATGTCACCATTGGAATAATACCCAGAATGCTACTGGAAAAAGTAGTAAGCAGACTTTTTATACATCCCAGAGACCTTTGCAAGTGTCCTCACATCCAGCATTTATTGTTTTAGAAAGACTACGCTATGGTATTCAAGAATGGAAATCTGAAGCTTGGAGGGGAAAAAGAAATCGTTCCCCGGCCTAAAAAATGGCCTATTGCTAACATTCTTGCTCCAGGAGCTAATAACATTCCTGATGCATTCATTGTGGGCGGTCCCTATGAGGAAGAAGAAGGAGAACTCAACCACCCAGAGGTGAGAGAGCAGGTGTCCATGATAAACACCGTTCACTAACAGATTATAAACTCAACCACCCAGAGGTGAGAGAGCAGGTGTCCGTGATAAACACCGTTCACTAACAGATTATAAACTCTTTGTGAATCTGAAATTTACACGCACACACACACACACACCTGGCATTTGTCAAAACAGGTTTCATGTGCAAATCAATATCTTATCTAATTCTGCAAACAATAATTTACATCCAATTTACTCTTTCTTTTACATTTATTTATTTTTGAGAAGGTAAGTATGTTATCCACTTGTTACTGTAATGAAATCCCCAGGATAATCAACTTACAAGGAGAAAAGGTCTGTTTTAATTTGTATTTGGAGGTTCAGCTCTGTGATGGGTTGGGTCATCTGTTCTATACCTAAGGAGCCCCCCATTAGGCTTCATTTCCTAAAGGCTCCAAGCCGACCAATAGTCCCACTCTTGGAGCCTCTAACACAGAGGTCTTTGGGAGATATTCAGCTTCCAAACTATAGCAATAATAATGCAATTCAAAAAAATTTTTTTTGGTTTTTCGAGACAGGGTTTCTCTGTATTGCTTTGGAGGCTGTCCTGGAAGTGGATCTGTAGACCAGGCTGGCCTCGAACTCACAGAGATCCACCTGCCTCGGCCTCCCGAGTACTGGGATTAAAGGCGTGCGCCACCACTGCCCAGAGTTTTTATTGTTTTCTTTTAAGCACTTGTTTTTGTTTGGTAAGCCTGTCCTTCTGAAATGTGATTCCCTGTTTTACCAGGTCCTGTCTCCCATCACTGTACTTAATTTCTTTTGTACAGAAAGGCACCTGGACCCCCAGAAACAGCTGACCAGACAAAGGTTAACTCTTGAATCCCAGGCATCAGCCTGGGAATCCAGCATGGGACTGATCAAGACTCCCTGAATCTGGGTGTGAGTGAGGAGGCCTAGGTAATCTATTGAGCCTTGGGCAGCAGATCAGTACCCATCCCAAGTATACACACAGACTTTGGACTCCCATAGAACAATGTGAGGTGCACTCTCACCCTGAACTCTTGGGGAAGGGTCTATGCCCTGCCCTATATGAAATGACAGACTATGGACACCCCCATGGAGGGCCTCACCCTCCCTGGGGGAATGAGGGGATAACGGGGGGGGGTGGGGGGAAGGCACGGGAGGAGGGGAGGGAAAGGGAGAGGGACCTGGAACTGACTTGTGAAGCAACCTTGTTTCTTATCTAAATTTAAACTGGAAAATAAAAAAAAAAAGAAAGAAAGGCACCTGGGGAAAACTGACAAAGTGACTACTAAGAAAACAGGATGGAGGGAGCTCTTGAACCCCAGACTGATGTCTGAGAGGCCAACAGGGGACTGATCCAGACTCCATGAATGTAGTCTCAGTGAGGAGGCCACAGAAATCACTGGGGCCTTGGCTAATAGATCAGTGTTTACCATGGTGTATGAATGATCTTTGGGAGCCCATTCCACATGGAGGGATGCTCTCTCAGCCTGGACACATGGGGAAGGGCCTAGGTCCTTCCTTGGATGAAATGACAGAATTTGGAGATCCCCTAAGGAGGGTCTCACCCTCCCTGGGGAATGATGTGGGGATTGGGTGGGGGGTTGGGAGGAAGGGTGGAGGGACAAGGGAGGAGGGGTGGGAGAGGGAGCTGGGATTGACATGTGAAGCATTCATGTTTCTAATTTAAATAAAAACATATATTGAGAAAAAAAGAAAACAGGATGGAAAAGAATTTGCAAGGAGACACATACATGGGAGAAAGACTTTTACTTCTTAATTTTAAATTTTGAATTTAAAATCCTGTCTTGAAAAACTAAAAAAGCTGGAGAGGCAGTTGTTAAGATATATAACATAAGATCTAAATATATAAAATAAGATATACATTTAAGGGAATTATAAATATTCACTAAACCAGAAGACCCCGATTCAATTCCCAGCACTCACATGTCGGATCACAGCCATCTGTAACTCCAGTCCCAGATCTGATGCCTCTCCTGGCTTCCCTGGCCACCAGGCACACACTTGGTGCACAGCTATATCTGTAGGCAAAACACCCAAACACATTCAAAAAATGTTCTCCTGTAGGTAATCTAGGCTTTGGGGAGGTGTTCAATTGTATGATTTTCAGAACTAGAACATATCAAGTCACTCCTGGTGGTGGTGACACACACCTTTAATCCCAGCACTCAGGAGCAAGGCAGGAGGCTCTCGAGTTTGAGGCAGCATTGCCTACAGATCAAGTTCCTTGGCAGCAAAGACTACACACAGAGATGCCGTCTCTCAAAAAACAAACCAGCAAGCAAACAAAAAGCCACTCCTATTTTTCTGTTATTCACTGGGATTGTTTTGTTGCAGGATGGGTATAGATTGTGCTTACATCAGGAGCAGGGAAACATGTCAGTTTGCCTCATATCTATAGACATTTGTGTGCACATATTGATACTGTCCCATCATTTTTACAGGCTGTTAGACTATTTGCTTTGTTTTACTTCATAGTTACCAGATTTTCTTTTCACATCACTACATTAAAAAATGTTCACTTGTTTTCCTTTTATGTGGTTGCTATATGATTGCACATTAGGTGGACATACTTTAATTTACTTATTCATTCCCTTTCGAGTGGTAATCAAGATTTTTAGTTTAAATTCTGTTCTTTTTTTGCAACATATACTTATCAAGGGCTTGGAAAATGATAAGAAAGTGATTGCAAATGATTCTTATACTAGTCGACAAACATCATTAAAAACATTCAGAAAAATAATTAGTGAAATGAGGATGTTGAACTCTTTTCATAGGCTGCAAATATCTAAGCTAGCAATAAGGCTGGCAACATTTAGAAAGGCAGAAGATTTTTAGGGCCAGCCCAGACTGCATAGCGAGTTCCAGGCCAGTCAGGAGGTCAGCCTGGTCTATATAGTGAGACCCTACCTCAAAAACCAAACCAAACTAAAACTTGTAAAGCTTTTTGTGAGCCTGAGTCTCAACATTTGCCTAGTTGGCCTTCAACTATCTTCCCGTCCCATGCTTCTCAGAACTTGGATTACAGAAATGTGTCACTACATACAGCCCCTGGAAATCTTTTTAAAACAATGACCATGGTGTGTTAGTTTCATTTCCTGATGCTGTGGGAAAATATTCTGAGGTAAGCAGCTCAGGAGAAGAAGGGAGTGCTCAGCTAACAGAAGCAAGTTATGCCTGTCATTTCAGGGAAGAGCTGGTCACGTCACAGCAGCCGTTGTCAGAGCAGAGAGCACTGGACTGGTGCACACAGCCTTGTGCCCAGCTCCCTTCAGGACTCTAGTAACGATGTCGCTCTCTCCTCCGTGACTTTAATGTGTATCCTGAACTGAGAATCACTGACTGAGGTTTTGTGCATACAGCACTTAGTAATGGGTTGATGTAAGATAGCATTGTCTCAGTAGATTATCTCATACTCCAAGCAGTTACAGTAGGTGTAGTATTCAAGAACACCCACAGACCATCGGAATGAACAGGAAACTCTGATTGTTTCTCAGGACAGGGAATTTAGGAACCAAGCAGAATGCATCAAAAAAAGAATCGTCTGGGACTTGGAGAGCCGCTGCTACCTTGACCCTTCTGCAGTTGCAAGGTGGGAGCAGAAAGGTGTGCCTAGCCAGGTCTGCAGGGGAGGGAGCCACATGCCTAACCAGGTCTGCAGGGGAGGGAGCCACGTGCCTAACCAGGTCTGCAGGGGAGGGAGAGAGGGAGTCGCCATTCTATCCCACCCCACTCCCAGGCAGGGTTTCCCTGTGTATCCCTGGCTATCCTGAACTCACTCTGTAGACCAGGCTGGCGTCGAACTCACAGAGATCCACCTGCCTCTGCCTCCCCAGTGCCATCACTGCCAGGCCATTTGTGGTTTATTTAGATACAGCACGATCTGGTAAAAACTATTCTTGTGATGATTAACTCAATCCCACGTACACAACAAAGCATGTGTAAATCTCCTTGAGGAACAAAATAAGCTGCATACAGATCACACGTGACTACACTGAAACTCTGCAAAGTACACATGACACCTTCCGTAAGGGTAGGTTCTGTAGATGGACTGAGAAACACAAGTTTGTGAGGAGGGTCTGGAGGAAGGCTCAGCGCTGGCTATAAAAATGTCTCTCCAGCCTTCCAGCGGAAAACAGGTTTCGTGTTTCTTGTCTTGGAACAATTGTGTGTGCTTGACATTCCAGATTCCCCTCGGGCATGTCTGTGAACACAGACCTCTGTGCTCCCTATAAGAGAGCTGGCTCAGCAGATGAGAGCATTTGTTGCTCTTGTAGAGGACCTGGGTTTGATTCCTGGCATTCACATGGCAGCTCATAGCCTTCTGTAATTCCATTCCCAGGGATTCCAATGTCATCCTCTGACCTCTGTGAGCTCCAGGGATGTATGTGGTGCACATATAAATCTTTTTAAAAAATTTGCTGGAGCCGTGGCTTGACCTTTCCCTTGCTGGCAGGAAGTGGGAGAAGGGAGTGTGTGGATTTAGAAGGGTACATGCTGGTGGTGTTGGGGTACCCCGAATTGAGGAGTGGTCCCCAAGATGGTGGTAGGTGTTCTTAGGAGTTTTGCCCCTCAGAGCCACCCAGGAATCTAATAACTTCTATTTATGTCTCATGGGTCATCTCTAGATTAAATTGATGCTAGCGAATACATTGTTTGAGCTGAGCACATTGTCCCCCAGCCTGAATCAGTGTATCATTCTGGAAAGACAGGCTTGACACTGTGCACATAGCTGTCTTTGCCATAGACAAACAGGTGACAAACAGGATTACCAGTGTGTCTGCAATCCCAGGCCTCAGCTCTGGCTTTTAAAAACCAAAAGGTTTTTTTTTGTTGTTGTTGTTTTTTTTTTCAGAATAGCTTTCCATTTATAGAAACACTGGGCAGAGTTTGTGACTCGGAGTACTTTGTTTCTCTGTGGTCTTCATTCAGCGCTTCTTGTCTGCACTGTAACACACAGTGGTCCACGGTCGGGGTAATTTGACAGACATGATTGGGTGACTCTCTCCTCAGCAGCCAGGCCTTCCATTCATCTGTATCAGATGTCGTGAAGTCCCACTTCGTCACACATCCCATGTGAGGGGTCAGAGGAGGACTTCTGGGGTCTATTTTCTTCCACCGTGAGCATCCCACTGAGCCTCTGGCCCCCCTTTAACTACAGTTCCAGAGGATACAGTGCCATCAGCAGGCACTGTACTGACATACACATAACCCACAGAGACACACATATACATAATTAAAATAATAAAAATAAATCTTTATTTTTTTAAAACAGCAAACTAGCCTGGCATGCACATCTGTTATCTTAGTGTTCAGGAGCTTCAAACAGAAGGGTTCTGAGTTTGACCACACTGGACTATAGTAGTGAGACTCTGTCCCAAAACACACAGGAAATCACCTGCCTAATAAGACAGACATTCTTTTCTCTCTCTGTCTCTCTGTCTGCTCTCTCTCTCTGTCTCTGTCTCTCTGTCTCTGTCTCTGTCTCTCTCTCACACACACACCACATGTATTCCCATTACTTTCTAGATGATAGATTTTATTTTTAGGACTTTGAACTGAATCCAGGACTAGGCAAGGGCTTGCTCTACCACTGAGCCATATCCCCAGCTCATTTTATTCATTATTTCCTAAAAAAGAATATTTCCTGCTATAATGATCGGTCCATGTTTGCAATGTGGTGCTGACAGGCTGGTTTTTAATTTACAGTTTCCAGAAGCGAATTGCTGATTGCCGGCTCTGGCCTGTGGAGATCACAAGAGTGCCTTTGGTCTCTGTACCAAAAGGGAAAGCAGGCAAACTTGAGAAGGTAAACATGTGCGTCCCCAAAATAACACTGGTGCGGAGACTTTTGCCCATGGCTCCCAGCAGCTGAGAACTGAGACAAGGATCATTTGCACCCCAGCGCTGGAGAGCAGCCTTGGCAACAGAGCACCTCCATCTCAAGTTTTTAAAATCAGAAGTGACCAAGCAAATGAAATCTGCTATCCTTTGTCTCTCTGATTTTATGTGGCTGTTTTTCCTAATGCAATCAATGTGTGGTTCGTTGCCTTGGCCTTTCTTGGTGTATGCATTGAAAGCCTCATGCCCCAGGAAAACCTGGATGACTGACCACTGAAGTTCCCTGCTGCTCACAAATACTTGTTCACGCCTTATTTTCAGATATCTATTTCCCCTTGACCCTTTCTTATAGTCTTATCATGGGTACCAGAAGAAATCGTCATTTTTATCTAAGTCAAAATGAATAATACAATTCAATCTAGTGCATTTAGACTTACCTACAAAATGTCTTAGACTGCTTGTTAATGTGATAGGATTCATAGACAAACCACGATTCTGGGAAGAGTTTGGTGAGCATGTCCTCTGCCACTTTTCCTGTGTGTCTGGTCTTTACTCCTTATGTATAAGGCCCGTGAGGGTAGGGGTCACACTGCTTCACATGTCCTCTTCCACTTTTCCTGTGTGTCTGGTCTTTACTCCTTATGTATAAGGCCCGTGAGGGTAGGGGTCACACTGCTTCACAGCCTGCGCTGAGCTCAGCATGGCACATAGTTCACAGCAGGCACCCAGCAAGTGGCTAAGTTATCTGATTTGGTTTTGTATAAGAATGTTATTACCACACCGGTGTTAATTGTCTCACTGTTCACAATAGCAGTTAGGAGACCAGCCAGGCACTGAACCACTGAGGAATGGCTTTAAAAATGTGTTTAAATACATAATGGAATTTTTTCAGCCATAAAGAATAAAGTAATGTCAGCTGGCAGGTGGTGGCACACGCCTTTAATCCCAGCACCCAGGAGGCAGAGGCAGGTGGATCTCTATGAGTTTGAGGCCAGCCTGGTCTACAGAGCGAGTGCCAGGACAGCCTCCAAAACAATACAGAGAAACCCTGTCTCAAAACAAACAAACAAAAAAAGGAATAAAGTAATATCATTTGCAGGAAAATAGATACAATCATATTATAGCAATTAAGTCTGTCTCAGAGAGGCAAATACATACTTCCTGTCATTTCGAGTCCCTGAATTTCATACAGATACCTTCAGTTACACCTGCACATATGACATGAAAGGGGAGCAAAAGGAACTAAGAGGAGGGGAGGGGTGTGTGGAGGAGTGTGCTCAGTGCACATTCATACCTGACTAAACATGTACAATGAATGTGTACAGTGAAAAATGTTTCATTTTGAGACAGGATCATCTCCATATAACTCTGCCTGTCCAGGAACTCACTCTGTAGACCAGGCTGGCATTGAACTCACAGAGATCAGATTCCTCAGCCTCCTGAGTGCATGGATTAAAGGCATATGCCATCATGCCCAACTCTGAGAATCATTTAAAATGCTGCTTATGTGTGATATGCATGCGTATGTGAGTGTTTGTATGAGTGTGGGTACATATGTAAATGTGAGCACATGTAAACATGTGTACACTGGTATGTGGAGGCCAGAGGCTGACACTAGTGTTGTTTTCCTGATCGAGTTCTCCCTTACATGCTGCAGCCAATTTCACACCTTGAACCTGGAGCTCCCCACTTGTCTAGGCTAGTCTAGTCTAGTCTAGTCTAGTCTAGGCTAGGCTAGCTGGCTGGCCCGCTCTGGCATCTCCTGTCTCCACCCGCCCGCCCAGTGCTGGATTCAGGGTGGCTGCTGCCTGTGTTCTGCACTTATGGATGGGCTGGGATGCACATTTGTCCTCACGCTTGTGGGGCAAGCAGTGTACCAACTGAGCCATCTCCAGAAAAGGTTTTATGTAAGGAAACCCTACTCTGTCTAAAACAAAACAGTTACAGCCCCATGTGACCATTTCCCTCTTTTATTGTGATATATATTGGTTAGCACCCCTTAGATTTCAAAGCCACAAAATGTTATAATGGATACAAAGGACTTTTTAATCTAGCATCTAACTATTACTATAGTAGGCAAAATTGAAGATACTACCTTTAAGCTTGGAATTAAATGTTTTCTTTCTAAAATTTGACTTTCTTTTTCCCTTAGCATATTTTATGGGAAGCTATCATTAAAAATGGCATTAGACTATGTTTGTTAGCAGGCTCTTTATCTTTGGGGTGAGAGTTTGGATTGAATCAGGTATTGCAGACACATGGTTTGTCTGTGGCTGCTGTTGCTGACTAATGAGAGCAGTCTTTGGAACCTGTGTATATGCAGAGATCCTTTCCAGCACAGCATGCCTCATGGCCACAGCTGAGGCGGTAAGCTAGCCAGCTCATACTGGTCAGAAGTGGTACTAACACCCTGGAGAGTTCCAGCAGGAACATCTGATGCCCTTGAATTCTGTTACTGTCTTCTTCTTCTTCTTTTACACCATTTGACTTTTCTCCTAAGAAGCAACTTGCTGCTTTTTGGTTGGATATTTGTAATATCAATTCAGTTGACTGTATGTTTTTGGGTTTTGTTTTGGTTTGGTTTTGGTTTTTCGAGACAGGGTTTCTCTGTTTTGTTTTGGAGGCTGTCCTCGAACTCTTTGAAGACCAGGCTGGTCTGGAACTCACAGAGATCCGCCTGCTTCCACCTCCCGAGTGCTGGGATTAAAGGCGTGCTCCACCACCGCCCGGCCAGTTGACTGTATGTAGATTCCACTACTGACTTTACATTATTCACACTGCTAACACACATTATCTTAGTGGTTGTTAAAGGTCCCAAAGCGTCTGTGTGACTGAGCCAGGAAGTACAGCTGGTTACTAGGCAGAGCTTGTTCCTCGGCCCACCCTGCCCCGCTGCTCCGCAGCTCTAATGCCTCTCCTCATCCCCTCAGGCCGACGATGAAAATCAGCTTTCGTCTCATGGCGTGGCATACGTCAACATGGTCCCACTCTTGTACCCAGGGGTGAAGAGGATACGTGGGGCTTTTCACGTGTACCCCTACATAGACAGTGCAGTCTTTGAAAAGGTAAGAGGACATGGCACGAAGGGCAGCGTCCCAGCCTCCACACACACACACACACACACACACACACACACACACACACACACACACACACACACGCACGCACGCACACGTGTTTGCTTATGTCTTTGCAGTCGACACCTAGAAGCAGCCAGTGTGTGGCTTCCACCGTGTCCTGTAAGGAGGGTTCCTCTGTTTATCTTTGGGGATAAACAGCCATGTTAATAAGTCATTTTGGTGCTGTGTCAATTTAGTTTACTCCCATTGGGTCTAAGATCTTCAGGCACTGGTTGTTAACTGCATTTGTAATATATAGACATAGTTTCTTGTCTGTAACTCAGGCTGTTCTTGAACTTGAAACCTTCCTGCCTCTACCTTCCAAGTGATACGATTATAGGACACCCAATGAAACATTTGATTTTTTTTTGCAGTTTTATATTCCCCAAAATTTTCATGAGTATGGACTTTGTCTTTTGAGACAGAGTCTCACTGTGTAGCCCTGGCTAGCCTGGAACTCACTTGGTAGACCAGGCTTGCCTGGAACTTGCTTTGTAGACCAGGTTGACCTCAAACTCACAAGAGATCCGCCTGCCACTGTCTCCCGAGTGCTGGGATTAAAGGCATCCGTCACCATGACAGGCCTGAACGTGCACTTTTTATTAGAGGGTAGAGGCGTTGCAGGCAGGCCTGACAACCTGAGTTTGATCCCAGATCCCACAAGGTGTCAGGAAGTCACCTTCTCCTAAGAGTTGTTTGCTGACCTCCATAGCACACACATGCGCATGTGCATATACACAGATAACATTAATAAAATTTAAATTATTTGTCTGTCTTTTAATTATATTTTTATTAAAATGATCTTTAAATTTAAATGCATTTTGTCATAGTCTTCCCCTCTCCCCAAGTCCTTCCAGATCTTCTCCCTGTCCATACTCACCCAACTTTTAAGTTTTTTTTTCTCAAAAAAACAACAACCTCCCCAAACCAATAATACAACACCAAAACAGGAAAACAAAACTGTAACCAAATAAAAGCACAAAAAAAGAAACTGTGAGTCCATTATGTGTTGACCAACTACTGAACACGAGGAGTGGTTGATACACCCAGTGTCCCACCAATGGAGAAAACTGATTTTCGTGCTCCTGGTAGGTATGAATGACAGTTCAGTTTTATTTATTTATTTCAGTGCATTTACTCTTATAGCTAGGTTTTCATTCATTCATTTTATAAAATATAATAAGATAAAAACTATCACATCGAAGTTGAACAAGACAAACCAACAGAAGGAAAAGAGCCCAAGAGCAGGCACAGGAATCAGAGACCGCACTCCTTCACACGTCCAAGAGTGCCATAGAAACCCTGAAGGAGAAGCTGTAACATATGTGCAGAGCACTGGCGCGGACCGTCTGTGAGTTCGTGTGAACTCTGCTCAGTTGACCCCGAGGGAGGGCCTTGTTTTCTTTTTGGCTTTTGCACTCTTTCTGCCTCCTCTTCTGCTGGGTTGCCTGAGCTCGGAGGGGAAAGACTTCAAGGTCTCTTACTCTCTGTGTGATGTCTGGCTATGGGTTCCTGTATTTGTTACCCCTTGCTGAAGGAGGAAACTTCTCTGATGATGACTGAGCAAGACATTGATCTACTAGTATATCAGAATATCATTAGGAGTCATTTTACTACTTTTTTTGTTTCTCTGTTTTTAGACTAGTATTATTTGGTCTTACCCTAGGTCTTGGGCTATCTAGTCTCTGAATCTTGGTCACCCAAGCAATGTCAGCTATGAGTTTCATCTCAGGGACTGGATCGTGCCCAGCATATCTTGGAGGCAAGACAGCATTGTAGGTTTGTGGCTGGCAATAAAATTTAAAACTTTTGCCGGGCGTTGGTGGCGCACGCCTTTAATCCCAGCACTCGGGAGGCAGAGGCAGGCGGATCTCTGTGAGTTCGAGGCAAGCCTGGTCTACAAGAGCTAGTTCCAGGACAGCCTCCAAAGCCACAGAGAAACCCTGTCTCGAAAAACCAAAAAAAAAAAAAAATTTAAAACTTTTTTTTGAGACAGAGTTTCTCTGTATAGCTCCAACAAATTTAGATTATTTTAGTGATAAATCCCTATAAGTTTTATTTCTATTTGGTATGCAAATGGATGATGTGTCTTCCATAACTGTATTATTGAAGAATAACTGTCTTTCAGAGATAGTTATAAATTGGAGGTCTCCATTGGGTCCCTCTCCTTGGAGATCTGGGAACCCCACAGAAGAGGGGGAGGAAAGACTATAGAAGTCAGAGGGGATGGAGGCACCAGGAGACCATGACCCAGTGAATCAACTAAGCAGGGCTCACATGGGCTCACAGAGACCGAAGCGGCGAGCACTGGCCTGCGTGGTCTGCACCAGGTCCTCTGCATATGTCCACTTGGTGTTTTGTGGAGTGGTGTATCTCTGACTCTTTTACCTGCTCTTGGGACTCTTTTCCTCCTGTTGGGTTGCCTTGTCCAGCCTCAATATTGTTTTGTCCTGTTTGGTTGTTGTCTCTTGGGGGCCTGCTCTTTTCTGAAGAGGAAATGGAGAGGGAGTGGATCTGGGGGGGGTGTAACTGGGAGGAGTGGAGGGAGGGGAAACTGTGGTAGAGATGTACTCTGTGAGAAAAAAATACTTGTCTTTACAATGATTACATAATACATTTTTATTGTTAAATTTTTCAGGGGTTACTTTCCCCTAGAAAACATGACAAAAATCAACTGTAGTTTGAATCTTACCAAGACTTTATTGTGAACTTTAAACTTGCCTTATTCTTCCAATTGTAACTGATAAGTGAATAGTAAGTAGACAAATACTGTCTCTTGTATATAAATGAACTATTTCACTTGAAGTAACTCATAATTATGTGTCAAAGATGAAAGTCTTCCTGATGACAAGAGTTATGACGTCAAAACCAAGCACAGCTGTGAGGCCTCCTCCTACCACTTTAAACAACAGGGAGGCAGCTGATTTTCTGTAGTGATTTGATGTGTTCTGTGAGGTTCTTCCGGTCTCTATTCTGGGTGCTGAAATGATCTGGAGAAAATGCCCCCTCAGGTGGCCCCGTTTCCCTATGACTCATTTTTGTTCATTTCCTTCTTTTCAGACCAAATGCTTGTTCAGCTTATTCAGGGACACTGGACACCCTCTGGCTCACAATAATAAAGCAGGAGGTCTTAACTCGCCACTGTCCAAACCTGTTTCCAAGAATTTGAAAGAAGAGAAGCAGCCATCGAAAGACAAGGAGATGGATGGACGGGCCCGGCCTGGGGATTTGGTGAGCTCTTGAGACCATAGGCAGATGCTAGCTACCATTCGTCCCCCACCTGGTGAATTGTGTTGATTTATTTTTAATATCCCTACTATGATCAAGGCCTTGAGAGAATCCACCTTTGCTGTTTCTTTTTGTTTCAGCAAGCACCTAGCATAAAATCCCAGAGCTCAGACACTCCTTTGGAAGGCGAAGCCCCTCTGAGCCACAATCTGGAAGGACAGGTAACTATGCTCAACATGTTAGAAATGGAATTCACTTCGCCAGACCTTCACCGAGCAAGACAGCCTTAGTGAGAAATGCTGGAGATGGGACAAGAGTCCCCTTGAGTATTTGCTTGTGGCTAGTCACTGATCTTGGGCAGGTTTATTCACTGAGACCTTCAAGTGAGTTGGTACCAGGTTGTGTTTAAGGTCCTTTCCAGGATTACACTTTTGTCTTTGATTAAGTCTACATTGAGCACCATGACGGATGCAAAGATGCATCACTAGCAACATCTGCCCATCTGCCCTCGACACCCTGCTTTCTGTCCAGACTGCTGCCTGTCTACCTGCACCCCAGAGCTTGGGTGACTGCTATAATAGGAGCACTAGTGGAAGTTCTCGCCAGGCCAGAGGAGATGACAGTTAGGTTGGAGTGGTCCCAAATCGTCACAGAAAAGGTGAGCCCAAACACAGTGAAAAGACAACCCTTTGCCCAGTGAAGATACAAAGGGAGGCGTTCCACGGTCAGAGAGCAGCTTCAGTCAAGACACAGAGAAAAATTATATCAACCAATTCAGGGAGGGATATGGGGGTGGAAAGAGATGTTCTAGAGCAGCAGTTCTCAACTGGTAGGTCACGACCCTCAAAGACCGTCAGAATACACGGATGTCTGCATTACAGCTGCATAACTGAAGTAACAATAAAAACAAGTGTTTTGGTTGGGGGGTCACTGCAACATGAGGAACTGTATTAAAGGGTCGCAGCGTTAGGAAGGCTGAGAGCCACTGTAGAGAGGACTACAGGCAGGGAAAGACACCTGGAGAGCCTGAAAGGCCTGCTGTGGTGCTTAGGCTTCATTCTGCAGGAGACTAGCGCTCCATCCTGCCCCTCTCTGAACTGGGCATTGGATACAGGACACAGTGAGTGCTCAGTAAGCCCTCCACATCCCTACGCCAAAGGTTTTGACTCCGAAATTATGATCGTGTTGAATTAGAAACTGTGTTGCAAACCAGACGGCTACTGCTGCTGCTGCTGCTGCTTCTTCTCCTTCGTCTTCTCTTTCGTCTTCTTCTCCTTCTCCTTCTCCTTCTCCTTCTCCTTCTCCTTCTCCTTCTTCTTCTTCTTCTTCTTCTTCTTCTTCTTCTTCTTCTTCTTCTTCTTCTTCTCCTTCTCCTTCTCCTTCTCCTTCTTCTTCTCCTTCTCCTCCTCCTCCTCCTTCTCCTTCTCCTCCTCCTCCTTCTCCTCCTCCTTCTCCTTCTTCTTCTTCTTCTCCTCTTCCTCCTCCTCCTCCTCCTCCTCCTCCTCCTCCTCCTCCTTCTTCTCCTTCCTTCCTTCCTCCTCATTTTTTCTGTTTTTTTGAGACAGGGTTTCTCTGTGTAGCCCTGACTGTCCTGGCACTCACTCTGTAGACCAGGCTGGACTCACAAAGATCACCTGCTTCTGCCTCCTGAGTGCTGAAACTTCTTATCTGGGTTTCAGACAGAAGGTGGGGAGGGACCTAGGGCCTTTCTTACAGCACATTGGCACACTGATGCCGGTTTGATTTGTGGAAGTAGTTGAAGGAAAGAAGTCAGTGGCCTGCAGAGGGCAGGGTATTGGGTTTGAGAAGTTTGTGGGGACAGGGAGATTGAAGAAAAGTCAAAGACAACTCAGGTTTCAGGTGTTGCTTTGTGGAAGTTGACATCAAGAGAAATCTCCAAAAGAAACATCAATACATCAGACAATTGTATTTAGGATGCTGGTAAAAGTAAGTCTGGGGGGCTGGAAAGATGGCTCAGTGGTTAAGAACACTAGCTGGTCTTCCAGAGGTCCCGAGTTTAATTCCCAGCAACCATATGAGGGCTCACAACCATCTGTAATGAGATCTGATGCTCTCTTCTGGCATGCAAGGATGTATGCAGGCAGAACACTGTATGCATAATAAATAAATCTTTAATAAAGTAAGTCTGGGTAGACATGTTCACGAGTTGTAGTTGGTGAATAGTAAGAAGACTGTGTGTGAAGATACAAGAATTTGAAGACGAAATTTCTACATGAGAGGACTGCTGAAGGAAGATGACAAGATTTAAAATAGCTCCAAGACAAATATGAAGGAGTTTGCCAGGCATGCTAGTCTATATCTTTTTTTTTTTTTTTTTTTTTTTTGGTTTTTACGAGACAGGGTTTCTCTGTATTGTTTTGGAGGCTGTCGGTCCAGCCCGGCCTTGAACTCACAGAGACCCACCTGCCTCTGCCTCCCGAGTGCTGGAATTAAAGGCATGCGCCACCACCACCCGGCTGATAGTCTATATCTTTAACACCAACACGGGAAAAGCAAGGGGATCTGTATGAGTTCTAGAGCCTGGTCCTCACAGATAGTGCCAGGCCAACCAGAGCTCCATAAGTTCAGAGGATCCCTGGAGTGGAAATCCCCACGATCAGACATGAAAGTACTCCTTTCCGTGAGCTGACCCATGCTGTATTCATTTCAAGCTATTATCCCATGTGAAATATTTGGATCATAGAGATCATACTTCATATGCACTTATACCCATATTTTCCTCCTGTAAGTGGTACCTGGTGTTATTAAAAATGCTTTACTGTTTTTTTTTTTTACGAGATTAGCGGATAACAAAAAATGTCTTTGCAGCAATATGTAGAAGCGGGGACATACATTGTCTTGGAGATCCAGCTGGACAAAGCCTTGGTTCCAAAGCGGATGCCAGAGGACCTGGCCAGAAGGTGTGGGACACTTACTCCATTTGGCACAGTTTAGAATTGAAGAAGAGTCACTTGGTTTGTCCCAACAATTGTGTTTCCTTGTCCTAAGCAGAGGACCTGAATTCAGTTCCCAGCACCGTATCAGGCATCTCACAGTCACTAGCAACTACAGCCCTAAGAGATCCAACACCTTCTTCCGGGCTCTGCGGGCACTTGCATTGCATTTGCCTTCTCTTCTTTCTGCCCATGAGGAGTACAATTACGTAACTGCCTTGTGGGCTTTCCTTTCTTTCCTTTCCTTTTCTTCTTGTGGGCTTTCTTCTGGCTTGTTCTGTCTTGTTTTAGGCTGAGTCTCTTGTACCCTGCATTGTGTAGGCAAGGGCAGCCTTTGACCTCTGACCCTCCTGTCTTCACTCCTTCCATGGCACTGTGTGCCGCCAAACATGGTTTTATGTGACGTTAGTGGTCAAACCTGGGGCTTTTTGCATACTAGGCAAACATTCTTCCAACTGTGCTACGTCCCCACCCCTTCCTTCCTTTTAATGTACCTATCTAGAAATAGAAGTCCTCCTCTGGGGGCTGTATTCACTACAGCCCATAAATTGTGGAGTATTTTTCTCTTGTGTAGGTATGTACCTATGTTTGTGCTGTGTAATCCTGCACACATGAGTGTGTGTGTGGGGTTGCACTGTATACTCATATATGCACACATGTATAAAGGTATGCTCACCCATGTGTTCATGTGTGCTGCGTGAGCCTGTGTGTGTGTGTGTGTGTGTGTGTGTGTGTGTGTGTGTGTGTGTGTATGTGTGTCTATGTGCACTCATGTATGCTTGTGTGGACGCCAGGGGGCAGTGTCAGCTGTCCTTCCCAATCATGTTTGTCTTATCTTTAAGCTTTATGGCCTACATATTCTGCCTGTGCTTTGCCCTTGCTTCTTGAGTCCAACCAAACTAGTGTCTCTTCCATTCCTCACACGTGCGGCTCATTTTTCTGTTATTGTTTGCTTGAGGCAGGGTCTCACTATGTAGCCCTGGCTGTCCTGAACTCACTGTGTAAGCCAGTCTGGCCTTGAACTCACAGAGCTCCACCTGTGCCTGTATCGTGAATGTCACATGACTTCTCCTTCCTTGCGTCTTTGCCCGGAAAGCATCGTCTCAATGAGGCCTTTCCTGGTGAAGTGTGCTCTCCTGCTCTGCCAGCCTGAGCCCCAACCTGGGGCTGCCTCCCAGCAGCTCTGCCTCCCAGCATTCCCCGTGGCACAGGTTTCTGCTGTACCTATCTCAGCGGTTTCCTCCCCTACCAGAAAGTGGGCTCCGTGAGGGCGGGGTCTTTGTGTTGTTAGCTCCATCCCTAAGCCTAGAAAAGCTTCCAATGGACACAGGAACTCACCATATATTTCCAGTGAGTTGACATCATCATGTCTGGAGCAGAAACTAGGAGGTTGACAGCAAAGTTAAAAGGAGATACTTTGCTGCCCAGTACTCCATGTCTTTAAATTTTTAATTATATATATATGTATATATATATAGCCTGTTAAGATAAATAGAATTAAAATTAGTAATCATTAACAATAATTATTTTGATCCTATTAAGGAAAAGTTCCCAATTGATCTCAAGGCAGTACAATATGGTTTGGCAGGAATCTGAAACTGAAAGGGACCGGAGCTTGGGCTATTCTGATTTGCCCTTTGTAGGTTCCTTCTTTTGTTTTATTGTATTTTGTTTTTGTTGTTTCTTTGTTTTTGAAACAGAGGCTCCAGAAGCCCAGACTGTCCTCAGACTTGCTATGTAGCTGAAGCTAACCTCAACCCCCAGGTCCTCCTGCTTCCGTCTGCCGAGTGCAGGATCGCCTGTGTACATCCCCAAGCCCAGTCCTTGCAGGCTAAATAAACAAGGTCTTGCTTAAGAGTGAAATGCTATAGAGACATGGGGCTGGAGATGTGACTCAGTGACTAAGAGCACTGGCTGTTCTTTCAGAGGACCTGCGTTTGGTCCCCAGCACCCACATGGTGGCCGACAGTTGTCGTTTAATAATGTAGTTGTATAAATTATGATTAAAAACATACTTTTCAGGGCTGGAGACATGGCTCAGCAGTTAAGAACATTAGCTGCTCTTCCAGAGGTCCTGAGTTCAATTCCCAGAAACCACATGGTGGCTCACAGTCATCTATAATGGGACCTGATTCCCTCTTCTGGCATAAAGGTGTACATGCAGATAGAGCACTCATATACATAAAATAAATAAATAAATCTTTTTTTAAAAAATGAACATGCTTTTCATCCTAGGTAGGAAGGAAACTTTTAGCTTTCCAAATCTGTGCCCTTCCGGAAACACCGACAGATATAATACCCGTTATTTCCAACACTTATTCCAGAGGCCATTCACGGACACTTTTAAAGCTGTGAGGATGGGGCCAGAAGCACTGTCTTCCATGGTGATCTAGGGCTGTGTATGAGAGTGAACAGTGCTGAAATGTAGCTGGAGGCAGATCTCAGATCTCTTCTACATAGACCCGGGGGAAATAGGAAAGAACACAGGCCTGCAGATAATACCGGCTTTGTTGTTTTGTTGCTTTTCCCAATACAGGGTCAAGGAAATGATACCTCCAAGGCCACCTCTCACCCGCCGGACAGGAGGAGCTCAGAAGGCAGGTGTTAATGCCAAGACCAAGCTGGAGCATCTGAAGGCGCCATGAGCTCTTCAGTGGCTTCCATGGGAAGGGGGAGTCTCTTTGGTGCCTCAAAGGCTTTCATTCAGTTCCATTTGTGACCCACAAATCCCACCAAGTGTGTAATCTGGCTCAGTGGAAAAGGGCAATTTATCGAGCTGACGTGGTAACTTGCAGTCAGTGGTCGGGACATCTCTGAGGCCTGTTTACTGCCATCCATTGTTTCCTCAGGCGGTGAGTGACTACCACACACAGATCAAGAGCATTTCCAGAGCCATTCTGGATGAGTACCACCGGATGTTTGGGAAGCAAGTGACCAAGCAGGAGAGCGAGGTGGACAGTGAGACCTTGGAGGAGCAGAAGTGCCAGCTCAATTATGAGCTCAATTGTTCCGGAAAGTACTTCGCCTTCAAAGAACAACTCAAGGTGAGAGGAGCATTTCTCTCCCGGTTTCACAGCCCCTTTAATCACGTGTTCAGCAGTTTCTGCTCTGATTCTGCTCGGTTGAGTTCTCTGGGAGAGAAAATGATCCATGTCTGCAGTCTGGGGATGGTGCAGTGTTTACTCCAAATGAGAGCTTGTAATCAAGGCTAGACTGGACTTGAGATCAGACTTCACACTCCACCAGCTGGCAGAAACTCTGTTCTTGACACTAACTAGTTCTCCATATCTCCATAGTTGTCTCCTTGTCTTCAGAATAAAGAATTGAGAGCTGGTGATGCACACCTGTAACCCTGCTCTTAGGACGTGAATCAGGAGTTCAAGGCCAGCCTTGGCTAGTTAACAAGTTTCAGGCCAGGCTGAGCTATGATGAGGCCTTGTCAAAACAAACAAATAAAAACCTAAAAGCTTTTTAAAAACCTAAAAGTTTATTAAAATAGTATATTAAAAAATAATGATTAGTATTCATTTCTAAATCAGTTTTTAGTTTGGGGGATGGGTTATTCTTGAGCAACAAGAGATAATAATATTATCACATGGGGTTGTTATTAGTATTAATATGATGAAGGTGTTTAATATATAACCTGACTTAGCAAGGGGAAAAAACCCAGTAGCTGCCAGGCTATACCAGCATGCTGTGCTGCAGTGTGTATGTTCTGAGATCCCTCGTAGGTGCTCAGAACTGTGGGTAAGGGCCTGAGGAGATGGATCAGCAGTTAAGAACACTGGCTGCTCTTCCAGAGGTCCCACGTTTGGTCCCCAGCACCCACATGGAGGCTCATAGCCATCTGTGACTCCAGTCTCGGGGAATCTGATGCCCTCTCTGGCCTCTTTGGGCACAGGCACACATGCAGGCAGACCACCCATACACATTCAATATAAGTAAGTGGACATTTTAACTGTGGATGATCCCGAACCTTGTATATTTTTCCTACACATGTGTGCCTGTGATTTTTCATGAGGAAGCACTCATGGGTTCTCTGGTGTATCCACACTGCTGGCATCACTCGCCACTGCTGCTTTGGTGCCTTTAAGTTCATAAGGGCTGTTGGATGTTGGTGCTATGGTACCTCAGGCATCAGTCTGATAACAGCATGTCTACTGAGTACTTAGGACACGGGTGCCCTCTACACTATGGAATGCTGGGTAGGGGGTGCTTCAGATCCAAGGAGCTGGGTATCGTGTGAGACTTCTGCATCTACCCAGGACAATGCTCAACTTAAAGCTTATGAATTGTTTGTTTCTGGAATTTGCCACTTGTTTTCAAACTGGAATTGAGCATGGGTACCTGAAGCTGTGGATACAGAAAGACTGCTGTATTTATGTAATTTTGCTTTTAGACAGGTTCTGGCGCTACAACCTTGGCTGCCTGGAATTTTGTCTCTTGCCTGGCTTTGCCACCCTCGTGTTGGCTTTACTGACCCATGCCTCAACACACAGCCTTCCGTAGTGTTTCAAACGTCTGCCTCTGCTCACTTTGTTCAGCTTCTCACCCACCGTCTAACGTATGGTGGCAGTACTGGAATGCGGAATCTGAGGTTCCAAATAGAACATAGGAGCTTAGCCCGGCATGGTGGCGCACGCCTTTAATCCCAGCACTCGGGAGGCAGAGGCAGGTGGATCTCTGTGAGTTCCAGACCTGCCTGGTCTACAGAGCGAGTTCCAGGACAGTCTCCAAAGCCACAGAGAAACCCTGTCTCGAAAAACCAAGACAACAACAAAAAGAATGTATGAGCTTGTATAGTGACAGTGTTTAAGCCAGAATCCCATTCTCTAGCCTGAGTCTTCCCTCTTCTCCCTACACCACATAGCTTCTGGGAAAGCCACAACTTTCAAACCTACTCCAAAGTTTGATTTCAGCTCCACGCCCCTCTTCCTGTGGTATGCACTGCCTCTCCCTGTTAGTGATGTTGCAGAATCAAGAAAAGGTTTTCTTACCGCCCAGGCTAGAGGCACATGGCTTCAAAACTAGCACCTGGGAGATAGACCAGAGATGTGAGCTGAACAGCACCATGGACTGCATAGTGTTCCGGGTCAGCCTGGGCTACATAGTGAGGTTCTGTCCTTAAATAAATAAGCCCATTGAGGAGCTGTTGGCTAACACGGGAGAAAGTGACCGTCACTTGATGGTCTGATGGCCTGGTATCAGATGCCCCAGAGATGTGGGTGTCAGTGCACTGCTGAGCTGTGGCACCAGAAGGAATGTGTGTGTCTTGCAGCACGCGGTGGTAAAGATTGTGAGAGAGAAATACTTGAAGACAACAGCGTTTGAAAGCCAAGAGGAGCTGCAGATATTTATCAGTGAGCTCTATGTGTTCTTGGTAGACCAAATGCACGTGGCCCTGAACCAGGTAGGTGTTCACAGCGCAGAGCCCCTCCCCTCGGAGCACAGCGGGGCTCCTTTTCAAGCACTCCCCCTTCTTGGCTTATTTTCTCCCCTGTTCTGTTCTGCACAAGGTTCTGACCACACATTTGCAGGAGAAGGGGCATGCTCTTTCAGTTTCCCACAAAACTGCTTCTCTGGCCTTCAAAAATGTTACATGGGGAGGGGGGCTGGAGAGATGACTCAGCAGTTGAGAACACCAGGTGCTCCTCCAGAGGACACGAGTTTGAGTCCCGGTGCCCACATGTTGGTTCACAACTGTCACTCTAAATCCCAGGCATCTGAATCCTCAGCCAGCCTTGGTCACAGACATGCACATAAATAAAATAAAAGATTTTCTAATGTGGAAGAATTAGAAAATTAGAAGTTTCACATGGAAACTGTGGAATAAAACAATTACTTTGTTAATGTGTACAAGTCTCAATTTTCTTCAGGATAATAAAAATCAGGGAAAACTGTATCTGGGTATCTTAAAAGCTCTATTTAAACTGCTGTGTGAAGGTGACAGTAGCAATTAAAAAACACCTTTACATTTTTAATTAATTTTTGTTTATTTTGTGTGTGTGTTGCCATGTCGAGCATGTGGAAGCCCCACCTGCCACCATGTGGGTCCCAGGACCGAGTTCAGGCCATCAGGAGAAGCAGCAGCCCCCTTTACCCACTGAGCTACCCTGTCAGCTCAGAACGTGCGTTTCAGTGGCTGGTGGTCTTTCCCCGCGCCTCTGTTTGTGCCTGTGTTTGTAGCTGGCTTCTCGCCTGCTCTTAAGCATTCCTGCGTGTAGTCAGTTGCTACTCTATGTGAACGGTGACAACAATCCAATCTTCGTGTGTGTTGGAGAGTCTCTGGCCAGCCTCGCCACTTGGCAGCCTCTGTCCTGTTTTCTCTTTATCCACTGTTTTTCCTTTCCACCATCCGACCTCCCCTCACATGCTTCAGTCTCCTTGGATAGGTAAGACAGAGAATACAGTAACACAGCCTTAAAATAACAGTTCTGCTTATGCACACACATGGGTGATATATAGGATTTGTTTGGAAATTTCTTTTTTAGCTTATTTATTTGTATTTTATGTACATTGGTGTTGTGTCTGCATGTATGTGAGGGCATTGGATCCCCTGGAACTGGAGTCACAGACAGGTATGAGCTGCCATGTGGGTGCCGGGAATTGAACCCAGGTACTCTGGAAAAGCAGCCAGTGCTCTCAACTTCCAGCCCTGAGTCAAATGTCTGTAAGTTTAAGGCCCAGTGACTGAGCCGTTAGTGGGCAGGGAACAAGGCATAAGTGGATTTGGGGTGCAGGTGACACTGGGTCTAGTCTTGACCATTAGCAGCAGAGGGCCCCGGATTCAGAGAGCAGTCTGAGCCAGAGATGTAGGTGAGGAGCCCTGTGGCCAGAGACAAGGCTGCCTGAAAACCTGAGGGAAGACAGGGGATGTGGCAGGAGACTCCTAAGAAATATCAGGAAGCGTGGGTGAGGGGAAATGTGACCATGGGGACAAGTGGCACCCGTGAGGAAGCAGTGTGGGGTTACTGGAGCCAAGGAGAAAGAATTGAAAAGAAAACTTTGTCCAACACCTAGGAACTCAAGAAAACCAACCCTGGGGAATTTTCATTGGATTTGATGATAAGGAAATTATTGGTAAACTTTACATGGGAATTTCACTTACACTGGGAAAATTTACACTAAAATTAATTGAGGAGTAAATATGTTGATAGAAATAAACTGGACGATGAGGAGCAAAGGGAAATAGATCTAGAGACCACAGGGCTGCCCTCTCCAAGGCAAGTGCGCATGCAGTTTTGAAAGTGAAGTGAGCAAAGCCCAGCGCCTGAGAGGTTGAGTGAGGCGGGGACAGCATGAGGGGGCCAGTGGGCTGGGGGACAGCATGAGGGGGGCCAGCAGGCCGGGGAACAGCATGAGAGGGGCCAGCAGGCCGGGGGACAGCATGAGGGGGGCCAGCGGGCCGGGGGACAGCATGAGGGGGGCCAGCGGGCCGGGGAATAGCATGAGGGGGGGCAGTGGGCCGGGGGACAGTATGAAGGGGGCCAGCGGGCCGGGGGACAGCATGAGGGGGGCCAGCAGGTCGGCGGGGGACAGCATGAGGGGGGCAGCGGGCTGGGGGACAGCATGAGGGGGGCCAGCGCGGGCTCCATAGGGAGTTCCAGGCTTGCCTAGGCTACATCATGCATGTCAGACTATCATGAGAACCTGTCTCAAAGAAAATCAAGTAGATGAGAAAACTGTTGTTAGGAAGTCCCAGGTGTGTAGGTTAGGAAGGGAAGGGTTAGAGTGAAAAGGAGAAAGCGTTGGGTGACTCTTCTCAGAGATTGAAAGGGCAGAGCCACGATGGAAACAGCTTAAGTGTGGAGTTGAAGGGTGAGGGATTAGGCTGGAGATGTAGCTCTGTGGTAGAACATTTGCTTGGCATGTGCAAGGGCCTAGGTTCAAACTCCAACACCTTAAAGAAATTAAGGATTGCTTTTCTAATGACTTCTCTTTTCTCTTTTCCTTTCTTCCCTTTGAGAATGTTTTTCATAACCTAGGCTGAATTTGCTATGTAGCCAAGGATGACCTTGAACCGATGCTTCTGCCCTCACCTCTCAAGAACGTTTAGTGCTTAGCCTAACATTTCTATTACTTCTCTGAAATAGCCACTTAATGAAATGATGGGACCTAGCCTGGTAGCTGCAAGCATGAAATATCAGTTACTCAGGAGGCTGAGGCAGGAGGATTGAAAATGAAAGACCTGCATGTTCTCCAGAGTGCATCCAAGACATGAGTGCACGTGCGCGCGCGCGCGCACACACACACACACACACACACACACACACACACACACTCTCTCTCTCTCTACAGTCTCACTTATATGTTATGACTGGATCTCACATCCAGTTTATTCTCATAAACCTTTCCACGTGTAACTGTTTCATTTTGTTTGTTTACCATCTCAATGACAAGTCCATTCCTGATGACACCCAAGGCCCTGCCTCAACGATTCCCACCAGCAGCGAACAACTTCGACTCTTCGCGTTTGAGGCAGAAGTCAATGAGAACTATGAAGTGGCAGCAGTATATTATGAAGAGGTAGCTACACATCTCAGTGATGGTTGTTATTATTATCTGTGACTCGATGTAAAATTGTAATTTTCTATTAACATCAGACTTGACCAGTGAAAAGATAGTGACAGATCAGTAGGATAGAGAGGAGACCAAAAATATTCCCACATGAATCAGATCATTTCATGTTTTGTTATTTATCTTCTTTTTTTTTTTTGGGAGACAGGGTCTTATTTATCCCAGGGCGAGCTCATTATATAGCCAAGGATAAACTTGAACCTCTTTTTCCTGCCAATGTTAGGATCACAGCAGCACCTGCAGCACCCACAGTTCATGAGGTACTGGAGATTCAACACAGGGCCTTGATCATGCGAGACAAGAACTCTACCAAATGAGCTATATCCCCGATATATCATTTGATTTATTTTAAACTTGTTTATTTCAAACTTGTGTATGAGTGTTTTGCCTGCATTCAGGCATGTGTACCTTGTGCATGTCTGATGTCTGCAGAGGCCAGAAGATCCCCTAGAACTGGAGTTCCAAATGGTTGCTGGCCACCATATGGGTAGTGTGACTCAAACCTGAGTCCTCCGCATGTTATATATTGTAGCAGGCTCACTCATTTAAACCAAGAACTAACCAATGTGGCTGGTCTAGCTGGTAAACTTGCTCTGGGGCCCAAGGTCTGTGGTCACCTGTCTTTGTCTCTTACCCTGAGATTACAGGCAAGCTACACTTACCTGGCTTTTACTTGAGTGCTAGGATCTGAATTCTGGTCCTCATGTTTCATGGAGAGTGCCCCCTCCCCAGCACCAGGTCATTTGCTTTTTGATGAAGTTGTATAATAAATTCAATGTAGAAATGAGTTGTTTCAATAAACAACTAGAACAGTTGGCAATCCACATGCAAAATGAATGAACCTTGACCTAATTTTTTGCAAAAATCAATGAAAAATGGATAATTAATATAAATGTAAAACATGGACCATTCAAAATAAAACATGGGAGGAAATCCTTGGCTGGGTCTTATGTAGAGAATTCTTTGACAGGAGACCAAAGGACAGACAGCAGGTCAGGGAAAAGTGGTGTCTGCCGTCTCAGCACCAGAACGTGGTCAGGAGGACTGCTGGAAACTGGAAGCCAGCTTGGGCTATGTAACAAGTTCCAGGATAGCCAGGGCTACAAAAGTACAGATTAGGAAAAATAGAACATATATTTTCAAACAACTTGTATCCAGAATTTAAGATTCCAACTGCAGCCAGGAGTAGTGGCACTGCTTTAATCCCAGGACTTGGGAAGCAGAGGCAGGTTACTCTGTGAGTTCAAGGCCAGCCTGGTCTACAGAGTGAGTTCCAAGACAGTCAGAGATATATAATGAGATCCTGTTTCTAAAAAAACAAAAACAAAATAAGAAAGACTCAAAATACAACATTTTTGTAAAAGTAGTGTCTGTTTTAATTATTTTGGGTATACTTAAGAGTGGAACTGCTGGGTATATAGTGATTCTATGTTTAACATGAAAAAATTCCACCAGGGCCAGGCGTTGGTGGCGCACGCCTTTAATCCCAGCACTTGGGAGGCAGAGGCAGGCAGATTTCTGTGAGTTCGAGGTCAGCCTGGTCTATAGAGCTAGTTCCAGGACGGCCTCCTAAACAATACAAGAGAAACCCTGTCTCAAAAAACCAAAAAAAAAAAAAAAGAAAAGAAAAGAAAAGAAAAGAAAAGAAAAAGAAAATTCCACTGGGATTTTGACAATGATTGACCTTCATCTGTAGATTGCTCTTGACAGTGTGACATCTTATCACCAAATCTTTCCCATCCTAACCTGAACTCAGAGCAGTCTTCCATTTATTCATGTTTTCTTTCCATTCTTTAAACTGTGTTTATAGTTCTCATTTACCTGAGGCATCCTTTTCGTTGGATTTATAGATAATTGTGTATATTTTCCACTTCAAGATTATGGCAGTAATTATTAGCTATAGTTGATGCAGCATAAAATGAGTCCTTAATTCCTAAGGTATTGGTTAAGTTTAGGAATAAATCTCTTGAGAATTCCTATTTTAAGTTGTATCAATAATTTTTGCCTATATACTTAAAGCTAGACTGTACTTGTTCTGGGCATCTTGAATCCTGTATAAGCAAAAGAAAAGTGATGGTTTTGGCTTTTTTAATGGTATTTACGGGGCATTTACTGTGTTATATGTACAAAAAGTAGGGCTTGGTGTGGCAGTAACCCTGTCCCTGCTGATACTTTGTGTGCCTAGAGGTTGGTCCGTGAGCCTCAGAACCTGGATCACTGGCTGGACTACGGCGCCTTCTGCCTGCTCACGGAGGACATCACGAAAGCGCAGGAGTGTTTCAGGAAAGCCCTTTCCCTGAACGAGAATCACATCCACAGGTAGAGGAGGCACGGAGGCCACCGAGTAGTAGCAGATAAGCTGCATCATGGGGTTAAAGTGACACAGAACCAGACTGCTAACCAGGCTAGCGGGTCTCTTGTCAGCTTGCTGCTGTGTGGCGTCCTGGCTGTCTTAATGGAGAACTATGAACAAGCAGAAATTTTCTTTGAGGATGCTACATGCTTGGAACCTAGCAATGTGATTGCGTGGACTTTACTCGGTACGCTGCTGCCCTGTGATGTGAATGTGGGCTTTTCTCCATCACGAGACCCTCTTTTTCCCTGTTTCCCCTGGGGACTGAGGATGTGGGGTGTGTTTGCTTGTTGGGGGGCAGGAGCGGGGAGTTCAAGACAAGGTTTCTCTGTGTAGCCCTGGATGTCCTAGAACTCACTCTGTAGACGAGGCTGGCCTTGAACTCACAGAGATCTGCCTGCCTTCCTGTTGCTGGGACTAAAGGCGTGTATCACCACCATTCAGTTTAAGATGTGGTTTTTAAACTCTAGTAGAACAAATATGGCAGAGAGAAATGAAATGTGTCCATTCTTCACCTGTGATGGTGGGAGCTTAGCCCTTTATCTCAGCTTCTTATTTCCTCAGGGTTGTTCTATGAAATTCAGAATAACGATATTCGAATGGAAATGGCATTTCACGAGGCCTTCAAACAGCTTCAGGCGCGAACCGTCCAAACAAAGCCAAAGAGCGCTGGCACGGCAGAGAATGTTGACGATAGCGTGAAAATTGAGCACAGTTTTGGCCCGTGGGGAGCCATGCATGACTCTGCTTCAGCCGTCAGATCAGAAGGGCTGACAGGTGGGGTGGGGCGTGGAGGTGGGCGTGGCCATCGGAAACTCAGGGCCTACAAATGGGACCTGGTGCGAAGTAGGCATCAAGTCCGTGTTTGTTCAACGGACGTGGAAAGCTTGTTATTTCAGCGATCAGGAAAGAAGCCGTGCAAAGCTTGTTATTTCAGCGATCAGGAAAGATGCCGTGCTTAGTAGTAACTCATCATTTTCCATATCACACAGAGTTTTCTCCACCAGCATCCCTTAAAGGCTGGTACTGTTGTGAATATACTAAAATGGTCTTTTCTGCCCTTTTCTCCCTATCATGTAATTCTTTCTATTTATTTATTTAGGTTTTTCAAGACAGGGTTTCTCAGTGTAGCTTTGGAGGCTGCCCTGGAACTCGCTTTGTAGCCTCGAACTCACAGAGATCCACCTGCTTCTGCCTCCCCGAGTGCTGGGATTAAAGGCGTGCGCCACCACCGCCCAGGTCATGTAATTCTTAAATGTATTTATTTATTTCCCCTTTCCCCTCCCCTGTTCTCTATCCCTGTATATTTTAAAGACTTTAGATTTACTCATTTTATAAGTGTATGTGTGTCTGCTTGTCAGTGTGTACCTCACAGGCTTGCAGATGCTCACAGACGCCCCGGGACTGGGGTCACAGACAGATGTGGGTGCTGGGGACTGAACTGCTCTTCTGCAAGCGGCGAGGCCCTCCAGCCGTCTCTCCAGCTACTTTTCATGTTTTAGGGACTCAATCACTGTGATAGGTTTTTATATGTGTCTTTGCTTGTGCATTTCTTGCATGCATGCATTGTTATTCTCCGTACATACGAATATTAAGGTGTGTTCGAGACCAGCCTGGTCTACAGAGTGAGTTCCAGGACAGCCTCCAAAGCCACAGAGAAACCCTGTCTCGGAAAACAAACAAACAAACAAAGAAAAACCAACCAACCAACCTAACACATATATGACTAACCAGCATCGTTCATCTTCTCCCTCCCAATGCTCATGTCACAATATCTTTTTTAAATGTTTTGCTTTATTTTTTAATAATTATTTTATGTGCATTGGTGTCAGGGTGTCAGATCCCCTGGAACTGGAGTCGCAGACAGTTGTGAGCTGCCATGTGGAAATTGAGCCAGAGTCCTCTGGAAGAGCAGCCAGTGCTCTTAACCACTGAGCCGTCTGCCCAGCCCCACTTTTCTTTATTTTTAATAATGTATGTGCATGTGTGCCTGGGTCAGGAGTTTGTGCACGTGAGTGCAGGACCTTGTGGAGGCATGCGACTCCCCCACCCCGTGAGGCACCTGGGGGTGGGTGCTGGGAGCCAAGCTCGGCCGCTTTGGAGCTTACGCTTCAGGCCCTCAGCCTCCTCTCAGCCCCCCACATTACCTTTTCTCCCTGCAGTGTTGTCACAGTGTCTCCCTGCAGTGTTGTCACAGTGTCTCCCTACAGTATTGTCACAGTGTCTCCCTGCAGTGTTGTCACAGTGTCTCCCTACAGTGTTGTCACAGTGTCTCCCTACAGTGTTGTCACAGTGTCTCCCTACAGTGTGTCACAGTGTCTCCCTGCAGTATTGTCACAGTGTCTCCCTGCAGTGTTGTCACAGTGTCTCCCTGCAGTGTTGTCACAGTGTCTCCCTGCAGTGTTGTCACAGTGTCTCCCTGCAGTGTCGTCACAGTGTCTCCCTACAGTATTGTCAGTGTCTCCCTGCAGTGTCGTCACAGTGTCTCCCTGCAGTGTTGTCACAGTGTCTCCCTGCAGTGTCGTCACAGTGTCTCCCTACAGTATTGTCAGTGTCTCCCTGCAGTGTTGTCACAGTGTCTCCCTGCAGTGTTGTCACAGTGTCTCCCTGCAGTGTTGTCACAGTGTCTCCCTGCAGTGTTGTCACAGTGTCTCCCTGCAGTATTGTCACAGTGTCTCCCTGCAGTGTTGTCACAGTGTCTCCCTACAGTATTGGCAGTTTCTCCCTACAGTATTGTCACAATTTCCCCTTTTCTCTTTGAATCTTCATGTTTCATTAGGTTGGGATTCCTGGTGTCATTTCTCAGCTTTCATCTCTTACGTTTCTAAAGTTACTGATTTTGCTATTTTCCTCTGAAAAATTACCAAGAGTTTTGTTTTTGTTGTCATGCAGGAGTCAAACCCAGGAGCTCCCACCTGCTGAGTCCTCACCCCCCTGCCGAGCTGCACCCCTCACCCCAAGGTTCTTTTTGCTGTTTTACTTCTTATTGTTGGTGTCACCGTCTTTGTGTTTCTTTTATGTGGTCTTTTTCTCTCTCTCTTCAAAGTTGCAAGTGTTTTATGTGTGCACATGTCCTTCTCTCTCCTTTACTCTACTAGTTCATGTCTTCCCAGATCTTATACATTCAGTGTGTTGTCTGCTTCTGTAAATTGTTCCTCTGTCCTCACTTCCTGCTGAGCACTGATGGAAGAGGGGTCCTGTCCTTTCCTGCTGTCTGTGATGTGCCTTTCCTCCCCTGTGAGCTCTTGAGTTTGTGGACCTAACAAGTGGCTTCTGTGACTGTGCTGTGTGACATCACCACGCATGCGGGGAATGAGGGTACCGGGGTCAAAGAGGTGGGAGGCGTCTGCGGTCTTTAACTGCTCATGTTTGCACACGCTCTCCTATACCCTTTCCTCAAGTGAATCACATCTGATCTGTGTAGGGCCGAGCACTGTGCTGTCCAGTCTAGATGAGTTTATTGAAGAATCAGCTAAGGGACACTCTGGGTCACAAGAACCAATAATGACCTTACAGCCTTTGGAGCCTTCTCTTACCCAGAAATCATCCAATGTGCTATTAAAAGAGCTAACTTCGAAAAAAGGTAAGGAGGAGTCGGTGTTTGCATTGGAAAGAGGACAAGCTAGGTGAGCACCAAGACCTGGATTGTGGCTGTGGGGACCCTGATGGGTTTGAACTTACACTGGCCCACTTCTTCATGTTAGTCTAGGGTCTGAAACCCAAACTCTGTGCTGGGATCCTTTGATAAGTATGGATTCTAACTTTGTCCCACAAGTATCTAACAGAACTGCAAGTTTCCAATGAGTCTTCATTTTCAGTATATCTGTAAATTGTGTTTCAAACCCAAGGAGGTCTGAATGCTTCTTTAATTGGTTAAGTGTGTGTGTGTGTAAGTCAGAGGCCAACACAAGGTGTCTGGCCTATGTCCCTGTCCACCTTGTTTTCTGAGACAAGATCTCATTGTTTCAGCTGTCCTGGCTGGCAGTGAGTGCAGCTTGGTTTTGTATTGCCAATGGCGAGATTCCAGTGACCCCTGCTCCTGGCTTTCTTGGTGGGTGATGGAGATCAGAAGTCAGGCCTTACCCAAAGATCCATCCCCCCAGGTCCTTTTGAATGGCCTCTGAAGCCCTTTCATTGAGTTGTGACGTTTGCCTTGATGGCCTTGAAGTCTGCTTTCTGCACCCTAACTAGATTCTGAGATCAGAATGTGACTCTCCGTGTATTCTCCATTATTAGTATGTGTGAGCTCCTGGCATTTCCTGTTTGTGTCTGGCCTTCTGTGCTGTTAATCTGTTTCCAGACACATCAAAATGCCTAGACTCATCAGCCTTCTTACACCCTACCCCTCATGTCTCTCCTCAAGCCCCTGCCACAATCTTCATGGAGACCATTCGATTCTTGATGAAGGTCAATGCTGTGCAGGTGAGAATGTTGGGAGTGAGGACTTCAGGGAACCATGTAGTCCATCCACCACAGTGTCTTCCAAGCCTAACTCTGTGTAAAGCAGAAACACTTTTTCAGTGCTGGTCTTCCTCCCAAAGAGAAGTTTACCCCACCAGCACATGCCCACATGAGGGCGCCCGTGAGCACGTGGGAAGGAGTGTAAGGTGGAGACTAGCACACTTGAGCCAGGACCTGGTGAAATGACCCTGATCCCGCCATCAATGCCTCACTCGAGGGCATGCAATCTCAAGAAAGGGCAAGAATTGTGAACTGGGTGGCATTGGACCACAGTAAACGAGCCTTTCACACACAGGAGTGCTTCCCAGCAGAACAGGCTCTCCCCTCAGTGAATGAATTCTGTCTACCCAGGTCAGATGGCCAGGGGCAGGTAGTGCTAAGGGGCTTCTGTACTGAAGCTAAAAAGACTAACAACGGGCTGCAGAAGCTGGAGGGCGGGCACGTGTGCTTTGCAAGCACACCTGACTGCACCAGATTTGCCGGTCATTGCCATTGAGGGGTGGGGAAAAGAGCCTCAAGAGCATTGGTGCTCATAGATGTTTAGTGGTATGGCACAAACAGGTATTTATGTTTGTGAAATTCCAGGTCTTAGCATGTCAGAGAGGCAGCTTTGCCTCATTATGAGTTTCCTTAAAATGTCAATGAAAATGTTATTTTCTGTGTAAGCAGGATGACTGATGAAATGCCTTTGCCTGAACCTCATAAACACAGTTTAACTCTCAGCCTGACGGCCACCAGGGCCAGCACCGTGCAGTGTCCCGGGGTGTAACTCTCAGCCTGACGGCCACCAGGGCCAGCACCGTGCAGTGCTGCAAGGTGTTCACTTGGAAATGTTGATATCCGCTGACTGAGTGACTGTTACTAGAACAAAAAGTACCGAGTCCTTGTGATTTGCCCTTGTCCCTTTGCCAACCGCTCCCCATTGGGGCCCTCCCCTGGTCTGCCCTGCAAAGCTATGAGTCGTTTTCACGGCCTTCTCTTGGGCTTCCCTGCAGTTTGTACACAGAGTGCTGGCACACGAGCTGCTGTGCCCTCAAGGAGGACCCAGCTGTGAGTACTACTTGGTTCTGGCCCAGACACACCTTCTCAAGAAGGACTTTGCCAAGACAGAGGAGTACCTTCAACAAGCGACCCAGATGGACTATCTGGTACTGATTCCCCAGATAAAGCCTCTAGGATGGGAGAAGAGGTGACAGGCCACCTTAAAACAGAGAGAATGCAGGTGCAATAGTGTGAGCCTCGGGCTCGGGGGTTCGAGCCCAGGGGTGTGACGTGAGCACAGGCAGCATGAGGAGACTCTGTCTCAGAATAAATAAATAAAATGGCGGTGCCACCTCACAGGGAGATGTCTGATGTGTGTGTGGGCGGGGGGGGGGGGGTGTAACATTTACAGTTGTATTAGTTTTTCTTAAGTAATCATGAGTTTTACGAAAGGTAAAGAGAATAGATAAGGCAGGCATTTAGCAGGAGTTGCTTGTTATTTCAAGTTTCTTTGCTCCTAATAGTGTTATCCTGAAGACAGTTGCCTGCTGTCTTAGTAGTTAGCCCTGAAGACAAAATGGCTTTGAGGAATCAAAAACATGAGAACAGACCTAGGGAAACATCCCCTAGTGTAACAAAAACAGCTCTTTTTATGCGTTTTTAGAAAAAAGAATTGCTGAGGGAACCTGGCAGTAGCAGTACACACCTTTAACCCCAGCACGACAGACACAGGTGGTTCTCTGTGAGTTCCAGGACAGCCTGGTCTACAGAGTGAGTTCCAGAACAGCCAGAGCTACACAGAGAAACCCTGTCCCCAAAAACCAAACAAGCAAGCAAGCAAACCACAAGAAAAGAGAAGTGCACCAATCTAAATTTAAATGTTAAACGAGATTCATTCGAGATTTAAATACCACATCCCCTGCATGTTCTTGTTTGCTTCCTCAGAACCCTAATGTCTGGGGTGTGAAGGGCCATCTCTATTTTCTGAGTGGAAATCATGCTGAGGCCAAGGCATGCTACGAGCGAACTATTAGTTTTGTAGTTGATGCTTCTGAGATGCACTTCATCTTCCTACGACTGGGACACATCTACCTGGAAGAGAAGGAGGTAACCCGCTGTGTAGGATGGAGATGTGTAGCTCAGCACTGCCACCTAGAGGAACCGGTAGAGCTCCCATCCTCTGTCCCCCACGATCAGATAGATCATTGCCTTCCATCTCACCCGCTTTTTAGAGACCTTCACTTCGGGTAAAACTACACTGAGGAAGAGAATGCAGGACATGTCTGGATGAAGCAAAGCTGGGTAGTTTACTAAGTAGAGATACAGAATAGCACACCGTTTGACTAAACATGATTGGCGAGGAGAGACAAAAACTGACTAAAGAGAATGGGTGTGGGCTTCTCAAGAGATCATCTGGAGCCGGGCGTTGGTGGCACACGCCTTTAATCCCAGCACTCGGGAGGCAGAGGCAGGTGGATCTCTGTGAGTTCGAGGCCGGGCTGGACCGACAGCCTCCGAAACAAAACAGAGAAACCCTGTCTCGAAAAACAAACAAACAAACAAAAAAAAAAAACATGAGCTGGTTTGTTAAACTTAAAGAATTTCCTTTTGGAGCTTGAGAGAATGCTCAGTGGTTGAAAGTTTATACTACTCTTCCAGTGAGCCCATCATGGCATACACTCATACATGTAAACGAACATTTTTAAAAGCAATCTTTGAAGAACTTCCTTTTTCAGGATGCACAGATAGCTCAGGGTCTGAGAGTGCATTCCCAGCACTCATGTCAGGCAGTTTAGAAACTGCCCGCCACCCCAGTTCCAGGGGATCAGACATCTCTAGCCTGCTCAGGCCTCAACTCATATGCACATACTCACACATAGCATGATTAAAAATAAGATAAATCTTTTAAAAAAGGATTTCCTTTTGTAGATTAAATTGACCAGGTTTCACAAGGAGCATTTTTGAGGTTTTGGACTGAGAGGAATGGCAGTGCAGTTAAACTTAGGACCCTCTGGTCCTAAGAAACACGGTCCATCGTTTTTAGCATCCTTGTTTATCTTAAACACTGTCTCCGAAGATGGTTTCCATTCAGCAGCTGTGTGGACTTCCAGGCAGACTCTGGAACAGGAAGTTCCTTTCCTTCCCCATGTTGCCTTGATTTTTCCTATTCTCCTATCTTGCTTCATAGCCAGCCTAAAAAGAGTCACATGATCATGTCACCTTTCTACCAATGGTAAAGTCATTTGCTCAGCACTAGGTACCCAGTAACTAGTGTAGAAATGAGAGTCTGGTATTGACCACTGGACTATTAAAAAGTTATTATGAACTTAATGAATGTTATTTTAACTAAATATGCTATTAATACTAATAGGAATTTTATCTCAGGCTGTCCTGGAACTCGTTCTGTAGACCAGGCTGGCCTCGAACTCACAGAGATCTGCCTGCCTCTGCCTCCCTCCCGAATGCTGGGATTAAAGGCGTGCGCCACCATGCCTGGCTAGAGACCAGGTCTTGAGTGTGGCAGTGTGTGCCTAAGCCCCCAGTACTCAGGGGCTTAGATCACAGATTGCTTGAGCACAGAACTTTGAAGTCAACCTGGGGGAAATACTGAGGTCTTGTCTCAAACAACAAAAGAGAGACAATGGTCTAGGGATGTAGTGCAGCTGGTTGAGTGTGTGTCTACAGATAATGCAGCCTTGGGGTTGGTCCACGGCATCACAGAGAACTGGGCGTGGTGGGGCATCCCTGTCTTCCAGGTTTCAGGAGGTAGAGTGAGCTATTAAACGCCGTCCAGGGCTACCCAGCAAGCTTGAGGCCAGTCTGACTCTATGGGACCCTGTCTCATCCTCACCCACACTAAAGAAAAGAAATGGCATCTTACCATGTCACAAAGACTGTCTTTGAACTTCTGGGCTCAACTAACCTTCTATTCTCAGCTCTCAGAAGCTGAGTAGCAGACCTTGCATCTGAACAGAAGTTTGACCTTTGAGTTTCTCTGAATGTCTTCTGTGGTATCTTGAAGACTTTTCTGATCAGAGAACAGGTTCTCAGAGGGACCAGAGGCTCAGTGTCTGTCACTCAACCACATGATGGCACTTCTTTTTTTTTTTCTCAAAAATTTATGTATAGTGTTCTGTCTGCATGTATCCCTGCAGGACAGAAGAGGGCATCAGATCTCATTACAGATCACCATGTGGTTTCTGGGAATTGAACTGAGGACCTCTGGAAGAACAGCCCGTGTTCTTAACCTCAGGGCCATCTCTCTAGCTCATGATGCCACTTCTAACTGAAAAGACGTAGCACATAAAGTCTAGACAGAATCCAGATAGCCACTGTGCTTGCCCAGAGTCCTCAGCTCTCCCCAGCTCTCCCACAACAGCTCTCCCACAACAGCCCCTTCAAAGTACCCATGCAAATAGAATCCACGGCTCACTCAATTTCAGATTACTCTAGAGCAAAACTGTCAAAAAGCTCACAGTTGCCTTAGCAACATGGTGTTTGAAACTTATGATACTTTTCTTTTGACAGTATGAAAAGGCAAAGAGAACCTACATGCAAGTCTGTAAAAGATCACCTTCATGCCTGACCTGGCTAGGACTAGGAATTGCCTGTTACCGGGTAAGAGAACAGAGGCCAGTTACCAGGCCCTGATTTCTCGGTCCTCCAAGGATATTGTGGGAGGTTGTGATGATGGTGGAGGGCAGTCTGCTCTAATGAAAACAACCTGTTCTTCAAAGTTGTTCATAGGTCTGGGCAGTGGTGGTGTACACCTTTGATTCCAGCACTTGGGAGGCAGAGATGAGCGGATCTCTGTGAGTTCAAGGCCAGCCTGGCCTACATAGAGTTCCAGGACAGTTAGAACTACACAGAGAAACCCTATCTCAAAAAAACTATAAAACAGGAGCTGGAGAGATGGCTCAGAAGTTAAGAGCACTGGTTGCTCTTCCAAAGGTCCAGAGTTCAATTCTCAGCAACCACATGGTGGCTCACAACCATCTGTGATGAGATCTGGCGCCCTCTTCTGATGTGCAGGAATACATGCAGGCAAATGCTGTATACATAATGAATAAATAAATCTTTTTTTTAAACCTATAAAACAAAAGAACCAATGCATGTAAAACAAGACTAAACAAACAAAAAAGAAAAGCTAAAAACAAAAACAAAAACACACATACACAGAAATGAACTCCCAGGGCCACACAACCAGCTATGGTGTCACTGTTTTTCTTTTAGCTTTTTACCGTGGGCAGTTTCACATGTCTTTGTCGTAGAGAGAAGACAATGCCTTCCACTTTACCCTGCTTTGGCAGTCATTGACTTTAGGTCACCACAGTCCTCATCTTTGCCTCAGCCTTTTCCTGTGGAATCTTTTAAAGCAGCTGTCAGACATGGGACAACTCATTTGCAAATCTGTTAACACGGTCAGGCTGGATCTAATTTCTGTCTCTCCCAAGGCCAGGGATGGGGTTCTTCTGCACCCAGGGTAGTCTCAAACTTATTGAATAGCTAAAGATGACCTTTAACGCCATCTTTCTCTCATACCCACCCAGACACTTTCTGACTGTGAAGTTGTTGCTCGAGTCTACAGAGTAAACAAGAGCTGTAAACATGCCTTTAATCCCATCATTCAGGAGGTGGAGGCAGAGGCAGAGGTCAAGGTCAGCCTACTGTGGGCAGCAAGTTATGGGCCAGCCAGGGTTCCAGAGAGACCCAGTCTCAAAAAGAAATTGTTTTTGTGCATGATTACTCAGTCACCCTGGTACCTTTGTAGTTAGTCCCTCTATTCTCTTGACCTTCTGTGTCTAACAGACTCCTACTGACCCTTCATGGTCCATCGTAGTCGTGTGTCCTCTGAGGCACCCTTCAGTCCTCGGGTAGACCTGCACTATTTCCCTTTGCCCCACCTCTACATCGTAAGTGTGCTTTTGTTATAGAAATACTTATTTTGTAATGGAACTGTTTGTACTTGATGTTTCCTTGTTTTTATTTTTCACATATCAATGAGGTCTTTGAGGGTAGGGGCTGTATATGTACACATATATCTTTATTCTCAGCATCAAGAATACTGCTGAGCACAGAGCACATTCACAGAAATGGACATTGACTGAGTAGTCAATGTCTGAAAGACCTGAAGTATGAATTCAAACATGGGCATGGTTGGAAGGCTACTCTCTTGGGCTTAGAAACTCTCCCTCCTCCCCCTCCCCACCACTTCTGTTCCAAGACACGGTTTCTCTGTGTAGCCCTGACTGTTCTGGAACTCACTTTGTAGTCAAGGCTTGCCTTGAACTCACAAAGATCTGTTTGCCTCTGCCTTCTGAGTGAATCAACACCACCGAGATCACTATTCTTTCAAAACAGAAAAAAACAAAACTATCTAGGCCTAGTGGCTCATGCCTATAGTACCAATGCCTGGTTGGCTGTGGTTGGATAGGTTTTTTTTCAAGGCCAGTATGGACTATATAATGAGTTTCAAGCCAATTCTGGGAGTTTCACTACACAGGAAGACCAAATCTCTAAGTAAATACTTTTTTTTTTTTTTTTTTTGGTTTTTACGAGACAGGGTTTCTCTGTATTGTTTTGGAGGCTATCGGTCCAGCCCCGCCTCGAACTCACAGAGATCCACCTGCCTCTGCCTCCCGAGTGCTGGGATTAAAGGCGTGCGCCACCACCACCCGGCCCTAAGTAAATACTTTTAAAACAAAAATTTTAAAACAGGAGAGTTATGTTATCAGGGGGAAGAGAGCTATACATCTACCATATATCCACCCACAAATAATGTGTTAGTAGTAAAATATAAGCTGACTGTGCAGACACTGTGGAGTCTGAGGTTTTGTTTGGAAGAGCCCTGGTACGGTAGGTCATAGATAACTACTGTTGGATAATGATTTCACCTAAGCTGACTCAGTTGGCTTCAGTGAAAAGCACTTTGGCCTGTGTCTTCTCTCTCTCCCTCTCTGTCAAGCTGGAGGAGCTCACCGAGGCTGAGGATGCTCTCTCTGAAGCAAATGCACTGAATAACTACAACGCTGAAGTATGGGCCTATCTGACTCTGGTCTGCCTCAAAGTGAGTGTTTCATATTGTGCCTTCACAAAGCCCTTTCAGACCCAGCTAAGAAAGAAAGGTAAGGCGGCCGTCAAGACATAACTGAAGTTTGCTAAGCTCCGGATTTGGTCATTGTACTGATGACAAGAGAAATGTCAGTCTTGGGCAGTCTCTGCTTGGAACGCGTTCTGTGAAAGACTGCTCTGCTTTCTGTTTCAGGTTGGGCGACAGCTGGAAGCTGAGCAGGCCTACAAGTACACAATAAAGGTGTGAGCCCAGATTGTAGATTGTGAGAGCGCACGGTGCTGATGAATTTTCACCAAGGGAACACACACCCATGAAACACAGCGTCCTAAGTCTTTAAGGGGCTCCCATGGTGATGAGAATACAGGAAAAGCCCATCCCATCCCCACAGATTTGGAGCTCGTGAACTAGGGATCTTCACAGCTTCGAGGTGTGTTGGGTGACTTGTTCTTCGTCTTGTTTCTGCAGCTGAAACTGAAAAACGAGGCTCTGCTTGCGGAAATCCACAGCGTACAGGAGATGGTTGGCTTTGGAGATCCGTCTTTCTGACATTCCCACAGGTGGAGATGCAGCATGGGGCCTCCAAGCATCTCATCTTTCCTTCCCAAATTGTGCCCAGGTTTCATACCTGAACTCCCTTCCCCCCATTACTTGTTAGCTGTAAATCAGATCACAAAAAAAAAAAAAAAAAGAAAACCCTCACAATTAATCAGCGTGTTTCTGGAGTCTTATGTAGCACATTATATTTTAAATGCTCTTATATAATTATGTAACTAACAGACATTCATTTGTGAGTAGCTATATACATAATGGTGTAACTATTAGAATTTCTGATGGAAGCTTATCGTCAATTGCCAAGGTTCTTTTTTTGGGGGGGGTTCGAGACAGGGTTTCTCTGTATTGTTTTGGAGGCTGGCCTCGATCTCACAGAGATCCGCCTGCCTCTGCCTCCCGAGTGCTGGGAATAAAGGCATGCACCACCAACGCCCGGCTTAACTGCCAAGGTTCTTGACCAGCTTCGGTTACTGGGACTTGGGGATTAAGGTATCATCTTCAAAGGCGGGCTTAGAATACTGCCATGCTGTGTCACTAGGTAAGAGGGCAGAGTGGGGGTAAGCCTTTTGGGAGAGCTGAAAGAGAGGTCTTTGCTTAAGATAGACGTACTGATTTCTTTAAGTCAATCGGTATCTTCATAGATCTAAATCTCCTGATTTTACAAACCACTGTGACCAGAGATGCAAAATTCGCTAGTGAAGCCACAATTGTAGGTCTTGAGAGCACAAAGAAATCATACCCTAACTTCTTGGAACATGTAGTCAAGGCGGAAGTGAAAGCCCGTTCCCCTTATTTTTTAATGGAGCGATTTCTTCCGTGAGGGTGGGAGAATACGAGGGAAAGTGAGAGTCACATCAATACAGACGATAAAAACGCTATGTTTCATCCTGCTCCTCGCCCAGTCCTTTATGAAGTCTCGCTGAGGAATGGGCGGGCAGCTCCGTCCCTGCTGTGTCCCGACCCGCCCGGCCTCTGCGGCGCGACCCCGCCTGCCCACCGGGCCGACGGGTATCCCGGGCGCCCAGATCTGCGCCGGCCGCGCTACCCGGTGGGAGCCGCAGCCCGGCGCCTACGGACACACCTCTTCCGCGTCACTGAAGGAGGTCGGGGTCGCCCGGTTGCCTTCCGGCGGACTGAGCCAGAGAAAGCGGAAGGGGCGGGGCGAGCGCCCGGCGGCTCCCGCAGAGGGCTTTTCGGATGCAGAGCGGTGCCGGGGCGTGTGCGTGCGCGGCCGCTTGGGGCGCTCCTCCCGGCGTCGGGCCCCGGGGAGCTGGTGTGTGCCGGAGCGCGGCCGGAGCGCGGCCCGAGGGCGTTCGTCGCTGAGCCATGGTCCACCTGAGTGAGTGAACGGGCTTCGGGGCGGGGGTGGGGAGCGACCCCGGGGCTAGGAGCGGCCGCGCTGCCGTCTGGTCTCCGTGCGCTCTGCTTTTAGACGGGGTCTCACTGTGTAGCGCCGGCCCCGAACTCACGGACAGCAGGCTCGCCGTGCGCCCCCGCCTCCCTTGTCAGCGTTTAACCGTAAAACCGTAGACATCGTTTTGCAGATGAGGCAGCTAAGGGCACCACAAGGTCGGCCCGCCGAGTGGCAGGGCAGGTCCGCGGTCCGCGCGTTTGGGGCAGAGGAGGAGCGTCTGGGGGGCACTGGCTAAGGGGAACGCTCCACAGACACGTCGGTGCCGAAGCCGCAGGGAATGGACGGGAAGCGAGAACACCGCAGTGGCAGGAGTTGTGACTTTACATGGCCTATTTTGTGTCCTCCTAACAGCAACCGTTCTCTGCAAAGCATACCATGGGGGCCACCTAACCATCCGCCTTGCCTTGGGTGGCTGCACCAACCGGCCCTTTTACCGAATCGTGGCAGCTCACAACAAGTGCCCCAGGGATGGCCGCTTCGTGGAGCAGTTGGGCTCCTACGATCCCCTGCCCAACAGTAACGGAGAGAAACTGGTTGCCCTCAACCTGGACCGCATCCGGCATTGGATTGGCTGTGGGGCTCACCTCTCTAAGCCTATGGAAAAACTTCTGGGTAAACTATCTCTGAGCTTAGATAAAAAGAGATTTTATACTGGGGTCAGCTCTAGGATAATGGAAAAGGACAGTGATTTTCACTCCATCCAAGCTGGAGGCGCCCTCTGTGACTTCCTCTAGAAGACTTGGAGTGACTGGGGTTTTGTTGGGGGGGGGGGGGGGGAGAATGGAGCTAGTGTGCCTGGGATGCCCGTCTGCCGATTGCCTTTTCTTCTTTAAGCGACAACAGTTAGGAACGAGACGGTGAGTTTGGCCTGTTGTCTCTGCTGTGGCTCAGGTGTTGCATCTCAGTTCTGTGAAGCAGACTCCGTGTGCAGCATTACAATGAAAACCCTGTTGCTTTCAGGTCTTTGTGGGTTTTACCCCCCTGCATCCGATGATGATCACAAATGCTGAGAGGCTTCGGAGGAAGAGAGCTCGGGAAGTCCTCTTAGCGTCTCAGAAAACAGAACCGGAGCCGGCAGAAACAGACGCAAGCTGACTTCAGTGCACACAGTGTGACTGCAAGGTCAAGGGCCTTCATGACTCCTGCATAGAACTTTTTCTTGGGTGTGAGGATCAATAAATGGAGTTTTCCAAGTCCCAGTCTTCCAGCACAGCCTGAACAGGGGTCAGACGGATCTGTTGTCTGATGGTAGAGCTGGGTAGAGGTACCTGCTAGGCTTCCTGCCTTACCTTGTGAGTCAATGGGTACAGGGGGCTTGGCCTTTGGGTTAGGCTCTCCCTGGTCACACGGGCAAGTTTACAGTCTGCTGCCTTCTGGTAATTTCCTGCTTCAGAGCCCTCAACGAGACTATGTTGGGCCATTGAAATGTTTTCTTTAAGATAGGGTCTTGCTCTGCAACCCTCCCTTGCTTGTTATATGTGATATGTAGATCAGACTGGCCTTGACTGTCAGGTCTCCTGAGTTCTGGGATTACAGGTAGAGCTACCCTTGCCTGGCCCAAATGTTTCCTTCATCACTTGGGATCATGCCAAAGCTCAGGAAGAAGTTACCTTGTTTAGTGTTTGTGTTAGTGGAGATTTATATTGTTTTCTTGATATACAATCTCAGGCTTACAAAGATGGGTTGTAAAAGTTGCTTTGGGGCTTTAATGCCTTAGCTGCCCCCCAAGACAGGATTTTTCTGTGTAACAGCCCTTACTGTCCTGGAACTCACCCTGTAGATCAGGCTGGCCTCGAACTCACAGAGATCCACCTGCCTCTGCCTCTGAGTGCTGGGATTAAAAGCGTGTTCCACAGCCTTTTAAGAGAGTAGTTAGGTCGGGCGTTGGTGGTACACGCCTTTATTCCCAGCACTCGGGAGGGAGGCAGAGGCAGGCAGATAGATCTCTGTGAGTTCGAGGCCAGCCTGGTGTACAGAGCGAGTTCCAGGACAGTCTCCAAAACAATACAGAGAAACCCTGTCTCGAAAAATCAAAAACAAAAAAGAGAGTAGTTGGAAGGAAGTTAATACAAAGCCCCTTCACATAGTCAACTCTGTACTGAGAAGTTTCTTGTGTGTTACAAGTACCACACTGTGGTTCAGTTCTGTCTGTGTTCAGGGAGGAGAAGGGAAGCTGCCCCTCATCAGTAGGAAACTATTATAGCAGTTGAGATTCAGAGTCCATATGTCTACCTGCAAAGTCTTCCTGCACATCTTGTTGCTTGTATGAGGAGAAAAGTAGTGATACAAGAGAGGGCTTTTCCAGAGTTAGTGATAGAGGCCTAGGAGGTGGCTCAGGGTACAAGTGTTTTACCATGAAGTTCTGAGGTTCTGAGTTCAAATCCTTAGAAGCAGAAGAGTCTGCAGTAGCAGCATTCTGCAGGGGCATGGACGGGAGACAAGGAATCGTGGGAAATCAATGGAGGTCCAAAGCAAAGCCTGACACCTGAGATCCTTCTCTGGCCTCCACACGGGTTGTAGCCTGTACACGACCACCTTAACTCACACGACGGTGAGCTCACATTCACACTCATGCACACAAGAGAGTTGGTGGGTTGTGTTTGGGTGTCCTGAGTTTGGTGTGGCTGCATGACATGAAATCTAACATCTTCAGAACAACAGGATTGTGCAGGTGTAACCCTGAATTACACATTGAGGGACACTAGCCCACTTGAGCATGTGATTCTGGCAGGCCCTGCCCTTCTCCCCAGATCCCTCCACCTTGCTGGAAACTGTTAGGTTATATTCCTAAAGTTAGCCACGAGGTCTATTCCTTTATTTGGCCACTTCCTCCTGACGCTGACTACAAGGTCTGGCTATCAAAGTATTAAATAAAGTTCAGCAATCAAAAGCCCCTTTTGGTTCACCCAATTAACATGCCCAATTAAAATATATCACACAATCTAACTCCCCTTTTTCTCTTTTCAAAAATTACACCAGCAAGGTCATTTGCTGCTGTTTTCTTTTTTTTTTTTTTTTAAAGATTTATTTATTTATTACATACACAGTGTTCTGTCAGAAGAGGGCACCAGATTGAATTGTAGATGGCTGTGAGCCACCATGTGGTTGCTGGGAATTGAACTCAGGACCTCTGGAAGAGCAGTCAGTGCTCTTAACCTCTGAGCCACCTCTCCAGCCCTTTGCTGCTGTTTTCTACCTGAGTCAGAAAGCAGCCACTTTAACTTTCTTCCCTGCTTAACAAAGGATCTCCGTGAAAACATTGTTTGGGTTTGTGGTTAATCCGGGGACTGGGAGGGAGCTCCCGCTGTGTGTGTGTGTGTGTGTGTGTGTGTGTGTGTGTGTGTGTGTGTGTGTGTGTGTGTGTGTGTGTGTCTCCTTCACATGTTTGGTTTTCACATGCTGGATAATGTGGGTTTCACACTCTGGAGTAAGGCTAAGCTTCTGGAAGGTTCTATGGTCTGCTAATGCTCTGGCTTGTCTTATTTGGGTTCTGAAAACATTTACTAGCTAATGCACGTTCTGAGGCTGAGGCTCTCCAGTGTGGTTGCTGGTTTTCCTTCACTTGTCATGAGGGGACCTTGAGAGTAGATAGAGAGGGACTGACTTTAGTTGGCTTTGATTTTTAGATACAAGGAGGGGAAAAGCCGAGAAGCCACTGAAATGTTTAAAATGAGAAGCTGGGGCAATATTATGTCTACCAAAACTGACTGGAGCAGGCGAATGGGGTTAACTCAGTACAGTCAAATATATACGGTCCTGGGAGATAAAAGGTATTCTTAAAAGCTATGCTTTTGCATTTTGTTCGACGCAGGCTTTTTCCCGCAGGGATTCAGGGTTCATCCGCTATGTCTCTTGCTTTAGAGGGTCACTTTAAACACACGCATTAGTCCGTGGGTTGAGATGTCACATTTCTCAACGCTAACACACGATTCTATTACGTTTACTTGTTTTGTGTGATGTGTGTGGAGGTCAGAAGACCACTTGGGTCCTGGAGTTCGTCAGCTATGGCTGAGCATCCTCGCCGGCCCGAGTAGCCGCTTCCTCCTGAGAAACAGTCATATAACTCCCATGTGTCACCGAGCGAGCTTCTGTGCGAGAATCCCGGAGGCTGATTTCGGGGTAGGAGGGCGTGCAGGGTCGCGAGCCAAGAGGGCACGCTTCCTCCCGCCCCCGGAAACTCCGCCGTCAGCGGGGCCGTATTGGACTACGCAGGCGCGATCGGGTCCCCTTTGCGGCTGCCGTAAAGCGCGGCCGGCCCCGCCCCCAACGCGCCTCCTGGGACGCTGACGCCCAGGCGTGTTTTTGGGCGGGAAAAGGAGGCGGGCGAGCGGAGCGACTGTGGTCCCTGGTCGTCGGCCTGCGCCGGGCAGCCTCCTGCCCGTCATGGGGCTGCTGGAGCTGTGCGAGCAGGAGTTCGGCACCGCCGACCTCTACCAGGTGCTGGGCGTGCGGCGCGAGGCTTCCGAGGGTGAGGTCCGGCGCGGCTACCACAAGGTGTCTCTGCAAGTGCACCCCGACCGCGCCGACGAGGACCAGAAGGAGCACGCCACCCGCCGCTTCCAGGTACGCGCTCCTCCCGCCGGGCGGCGACCCCGCCCCGGGGCAGCGCGCTGGGCTGGCCCGCTGGGCGTTTCAGGCGTTTGTGCGGCAGCGGGCGGGCGGGTGGGCGGGGGTCAGGGTGCTTGGGTGCTCTTTCCTGCAGATCTTGGGGAGAGTCTATGCGGTTCTGAGTGACAAGGAGCAGAGAGCAGTGTACGATGAACAGGGAACAGTGGACGAGGACTCCGCCGGCCTCGACCGGGACCGGGACTGGGACGCGTACTGGAGGCTACTCTTTAAAAAGGTAGGGGGTTCTAGTGGCTTTGACCAATTCCCGTCGCCCAGCCCGCAAGGACAGTGCTCGGAGTTAAAGCGACCTTCTCTGTTACTAGATATCGCTGGAGGACATCCAGGCTTTTGAAGAGACCTACAAAGGCTCTGAAGAAGAGCTCGCCGATGTTAAGCAGGCCTATCTGGACTTCAAGGGCGACATGGACCAGATTATGGAGTCTGTGCTCTGTGTGCAGTACACAGACGAACCCCGGATAAGAAACATCATTCAGCAAGCTATTGATGCCAAAGAGGTCCCAGCCTACAATGCCTTCGTCAAAGAGTCCAAACAGAAGATGAATGCCAGGAAGAGGAGGGTAAGTTTGACTGCTGTTTCCAAAAGGGACCTGGGGAGAATTGACAAGGATGGAATAAGGACTGCTGAAATACGGGCTGCTCCTCCTTCTAGATGAGAAGAAAACCCTGGCGAGTTACTACTTATTTATTTATTTATTTATTTATTTATTTATGGGTATGATGTGCTGATAATGATTTTACTTTATGGATTGTTTGAAATCACCCTAGAGTGACTCTGAAGCACCTTTCATGGGGCAGCCCTAGGAGCTTTGCTGAGGCTGTGCTAGGGAAATGTATGGAGCCTGGTTACACGGCTGTGGTCCCTGTGTGGTTGGTGAACAGGAGATGGTATGGTTGTTAGGACTGGACTGCTGGAGTGTGGCGCTCCTGGTGACTGAGCACCGAGGAGGCTAACGTAAGAGATGTGGCTTCTGGGGTCAGGCTGGTGGTGTGTGGGATCAGAGCTGGATTTGTTGTCTAGTATGCGGTAGGTCCTGAGTTAAGTTTCCAAAACTGCTCAGAAGAGCGGGAGAAAACAGGGATTGATTTTTTAAAAATTCTGTACATGCATTTAATTATTGAAACTTTAAACTACGGGGCTGGAGAGGTGGCTCAGTGGGTGTGTACTGCTCTTACAGAGACCCAAGTTCAATTTCCAGCACCAGGATGGGGTGGCTCATAACTGTCTAACCTCAGCACCCAGGAATCTGACACCTCTGGTCTCTGTATTCACTGAGTAACTCTCCAGACCCCACCTGTTCCTGCTGCTGCTGCTTTTTTTTTTTTAAAGCACACTTGAGGTGAGTCTTTCTGCTCCCTTTTTGAGGGACACCCGATTGCTGAGAATTGAGGATTGGGTCTTGTGACTCTTCATACCTCTGTTAAGCCAGGGTTGGTAGGGATGGTAGCATAGGAATTCAAGGTAGCAAACGTCTGTGTTGATGTTGCCTTGGACTGCTATTAAAGCAACAGTTGCTTCATCTTGGCTTTCACAGTGAGAGCTCCCCGGAGCCAGCAATTTAAGGTTTTAGATATCTGGTGGGCAGGTGAGTTGTCTCTTTTGTGGCTCAAGACAAAGAGCCAGAGCTTTTGGATACATGAAATTGCAGAGAGATCTGACCTTGTGGGTGGGTAAGTTTAGGGCCTGTTTTGCCAAGATAAGAGAGTTTCATTGCATGCCTACATCTGCTTAGTTATGCCCGCTGCTTGTTAATCTTTTCTCAGGTGAAACTGAGAACAGCTGTGTTCAAACATACAATTTTAGTTTGAGAAACTTGGGAGTTTGAGGAGAATGACAGTTTGAAAGCGGTCTAACCAGTGTCAGGGACTGAAGGGGCTGAGTTTTGAGAATAAAGCAAAATTTGTTTTTGTTTTGGAATAACAAGATCCTAATTTATTATTATTCCCAATATTAATGGAATTCTTTGCTAAAATTAGAAAATTTTACAAGGACTTAGGGTCTCGTATTATCACAGTTGCTGCCTTTAGGTGTTCTTACGGTATTTTGGCAAATTTTGTTAAATGAAGACAGGTAAAGAAAGGCTAAAACTCTGTGAGTTCGAGATCAGCCTGGACTACCAAGCAAGTTCCAGGACAGCCTCCAAAGCCACAGAGAAACCCTGTCTCAAAAAACAAAAACAAAAAAAAGAAAAGAAAAGAAAGGCTAAAACTAAAACTGAGTTTGCTAATTTTTTTCTAACTACTCAGAAAACTGTGTGTGTGGTGTGTTTGTGTCTGTGTGTGGTGTGTGTGTAGTGTCTGTGTGTGTGTGTGTGGTCTGTGTGTGGTGTGTGTGTGTCTGTGTGGTGTCTGTGGTGTGTCTGTCTGTGTGTCTGTGTGTGGTGTGTGTGTCTGTGTGGTGTCTGTGGTGTGTCTGTCTGTGTGTCTGTGTGATGTGTGTCTGGTGTGTGTCTGTGTGTATGGTGGTATGGTGTGGTGTTTCTGGTGTGTGTCTGGTGTGTGTGGTATGTGTGGGGTGTGTGGTGTCTGCGTGTGTCTGTGTGTGTGTGTGTGTGTGTGTGTGTGTGTGTGTATGAGAGTGCAAGAGTGTGGGGCCCAGAGCGGCAGAGGCTGTGATCCCCAGGAGCTGGGGTGACAGCACCCTCGTGTGTTGGGCTTGTCTTTGAAAAGCAAGAGGTGCTGCCAACCACTGAGCCAGCTCCAGAGAAAGCCTTCAAACCACTGCGGGTCACAGGGCTGCCACCAGTGCTGTGTATAAAATGGGGTTTCAGGTGAAGGTCCTAAAGCTCTGACGTCAGCCTGGCGTCCCTCCCCATGCACCTACTAGGTGGCTCCTTTGTGTCACCACCTGGTTTGTGCTCTCTAGGACGTACAGCTGGGGATAAAACAGAAGGGTATATTGGAATCAAGCAGTATGTCATCTTCTGATGAAAACCACGTGTAATTTTATCCAGTTCCAGAATGTGTCTTAACATGTTCTGTAAGGGGGGAAGATATATTTCTGTTATTTCTTGGTTGCCGTGAAGTCTGATGAAAACTTTCTCTTCAGGCTCAGGAAGAGGCTAAAGAGGCCGAGTTGAGCAGAAGGGAGCTGGGCCTGCAGGAAGGCGTGGGTAGCCTGAAGGCGCTCATCCAGGTAAACAGGCAGACTTCCCTCTGGCTCCCTCACAGCCCGCTCACCATCCCTTAGTGTGTGTGTGCTCTTTGGAATGGATGCTGGTGTTTTGTGTTTTCTTTTAAGGCACAATTACACACAGCTTATACCACATACAGTTAAGTAATTTTTCCTTCTCCACTTCTGGAACATTGTTACCACTCCAGAGGAAGCCGTACCGTTATTAGGCACGGGTGTGCTTCCTTGACCACAACCCCTCCTAACCATGAAATGCTTTTGTCTCAGTGGACAGTGCTGCATTTTGAAAGCTGTGTTTTAACTTCTCAAACAGAGCAGACAAAAGGATCGGCAAAAGGAAATGGACAATTTTCTGGCTCAGATGGAAGCAAAATACTGCAAACCTTCCAAAGGGAAAAGAGCGGCTCCCAAGAAGGAAAAGAAATAGAGAAGTTTGTTCTGTTAAAATACGTGGTCACTTAAGCCAGACAAGATTCATCAACTTGATCTTAGTGTTTGCTAGAATTCACCTGACTTTGTGCAAGGGCTTCACACGGTGGTTGGGAGGGTGAACTGACTAGGTTTGCTTCCATGGGTTTCTGCCCAGGGAGTGATGCACGCACCTGAGAGACACTCTGCCTACAGAAAACACCCTCGGAACCCTTGCTCAGCATCTGTCTTAACAATCCTCGTAGAGTCTCTTTTCCTGTTCCGCTGTTATGTTTTGTCTTCTGTCCTTGTGGTAGAAGTGGGTGTTCATATTACTGCAGACTTTTTTTTTTTAGGTTGTATATGGCTAAATAAAGAAAAACTTAAAAGGTCTGGTGGATGATTTAAATGATCCATTGATCTAGAAAAGTACAGTGTTGATGTAAGTAATCAAGTCAGCATTATGACAGACAGGCTGACTTCTGCAGCAGAGATGGACGTCACAGTGCTCTTTGTAGGGTTCAGGATCAGGCATTTCATGGGCTTGTCTGTACTTTTCATCTGTAAGAGTGAGGTCCAGACCCATTAGTCTATATGTGTTAAGTATAGTGGGTGTTTGTGTTACAGTCTGGGCTTTTTGTTTCTCTGTGTAGCCTTGACTGTCCCAGAGCTCAGAGATCATTGCCCACCTCTGCTGGGACTAAGGTGTGCTTGCCACCACTGCCTGGCTTGCTTTTGTCTGCTTTGTCTCACTGGGTAGCTCTGGCTAGCCTGGGATTTGCGATCACAAGTAGGTTAGAACTATTTAATTGAATTCTGTGTGGGATTTTGAGGCATCTTATCTAATTGGTGGCATAACTTGGGATAACTTTAGTCACCTTTAGAAGACAACCATTTGAACTAGCTACTCTGAAAATTAGTGGGGTCAGAGTGGTGTGATAGCTAAGGCCATTGCCAATGCCATTTTACTACCACACACTCAAGCCATAGTTAAAACCATTGCTGCATTCCTAGTGCCCTTCAGAAGCTTACGGTGTCACTAGAGAACACGGAGTTCTCTAGTCCCAGTGCCCTTGGAACAGAGAACCGGCTCAGTGGGAAAGGACTCGTGCCCCAAGCGTAAGACTGAGTTTGGATCCCCACCACTGACAAAAGGCCCTGCTTGTGGTGCATGAATGAGGACAGACCCTGTCTTAAAAAGTGATTCAGCAGGCTGGAGGGATAGCTCAGCCGTTAAAGGCTAGGCTCACAACCAAAAAGTGATTCGGCGAAGCAGAAGAGACACCCAGCAACGTCTGGGCTCTACGTGCACACACACACACAATTACACAGACACGAACACACAAGACCCTGATGTGAAGTAGGCATATAGGCTGTCCTAGGAAAAAGAAACTGGTTTCTTTACACCACTGCTGATACCTTTAGTTAGCTCTTTCATCCTGTTTTTTATTTTTATAGGCTTATTTTAAATTATGAGTGTGTCTATGGGTAGTGTGCAGGGCAGCCAGAGACATTGTACCCCCAGAGCTGAAGTTCCAGGTACTTCTGTATTGCCATGTGGGTGCTGGGAACTGAACATGAGTATTTGCTCTTACCCGCTGAGCCATCTCTCCAGCCCTCGTTCTGCTTTTTAAAAAGGAAGCTTGGCTGGCAAGATGGGTGGCCCAGCAAATAAAGGCACCTTCCCCGAGACAACCCAACTCAGATGGGACCTGACTCTTGAAAGTTGTCCTCCAGCCACAGTTGAAAGTTGTCCTCCAGCCACAGTTGAAAGTTGTCCTCCAGCCACAGACCATGCCCACACACGCACACATGCACACAAAAGTAAATGAAACTAAATGTAATAAAGAACTTAAAGCTTAGGAATGACATTTATTTGATGAGTATCTCAGATTTTTTGGCAGCACTTTCTTCTAAAAATATGTTAAAACAGTGCAGTTCTCCAGAAATTAATACAAGCGGAAATATTCTGAAGCCAGTGATCTGAATCGTGTGTGCGTGTGTAATCTTACTGAACTGTACAAGAATCGTGATTGCTTAGAGACAACAAGAGCAGTGATCTGGGGTGTTTTTCATTGTCACGTCTTTTGGGTACAATCTTTACTGCCCAGTGGAAGAGCTGGAAGAAGACAGTAACTGGACATAGGACAGTTGCCCACGCAGTCTTTGGCAGATACTCTAGTGTTTCTCGGCCAGTTGTACCGAGATAACTCTTGAAGATGGACCAAGCTGCTGTTTGTAGCTTTGCATCGTTTGGTGCCTGAGTGCTGGTGCATGAAACCCTCTGTGTATTTGCAGTCTGCTGAGGCCTTGCAGGTCCTCGCCTGCCCTGTGGTCACTGCCTGCTGCTTCTAGAGATGGGTCCACCTCTGCTTTGAGGGTTTGTAGACTCATGTGACTGAGGACCTGTCAGACACAGAAGTGCACACAATAACATTAGTAAACAGTTCCTATTTGGCAATAAACATCAAAGTTCATGCCTTATGGACTTTTCTGTAAATTACCAGTGGACTTTAAATTTGGAAACAAACTGTCTCTAAATACTGAGAGGTATATATTCACCAAGGCACTAAAATCCATGTTTAAATAGTTTACCCTGCTGAAAAAAACAACTAAAATTTAAGAAGTAAAAGCAAGCTGGGTGTGGTGGCATATACCTTTCAGCACTTGGGAAGCAGAGGCAGGAGGATCTCTGTGAGTTCAAGGCCAGCCTGGTCTGCATAGTGAGCTCCAGGACTGTCAGGATTGAACTACAGAGTTTCGTGTCTCAAAACCAAAACTGTGGCCTAGTTTTGCTTGCGAGCCTACTCATTAAAAACTAAAATGCATATTTCAATAACCTAAGTTTTAAAACTAATATCTGACTCAAGGTGTAGCTTGTGTAGTAACAAGATTGGAGGCTTTAAAAAAAGATTTTTTTTCATGTAAATGTGTGTACCTCTGAGTGCGTGCACATGTGCAGGTCCTGTGGGGGCACGAATTGGGAGGCTGACCTCCGGGATCTGCACTTACAGGTGGTTGTGAGTTGCCTGACATGGGCTCGGGGAACCTTGGGTTCTCTGGAAGAATAGCAAATATTCTTAAACTTCCAGTCCCCCAAATTTTTGTTTAAAAAAAAAGTAACTTATTTTAAAGATTAATTTACTTGGTAATTTTAATCTGGAACTTTCTGGCTTTGAGCAGCTGGCCTTCTAGACCCATCTTGTAAATGATGCTAATGTGACTTACACAGGGACGGCTAACTGTAGACAAGTCTGCAGGGAAGGACGATGTGTAGGAAGAAAGGAAAAGATACTGCAGCCCCACCTGTACCTGCAGACCCCCTGCCAGGGCGGGCCTGGTGAGGAAACTCGGACGCACAGGAGTTTCGGTACTGTGTGTCTGGCTAAAAGGAGAGAAAAGATGTCTTAGATGCAGCATCTCCCAAAGACCCTTGTCTGAGGCTTACAGAGTGCGCTAGCTACGCTTCTACTACTTTGATAAGCACGGTGACCGGGGCAACTTAACAGGGAAGGGCTCACTGAGCCCTTTAAGGCAGGGAAGCAGAGAGCATGCTGGCAGACTTAACTAGCAATGGTGGAAGTCTTCAAACTCCACACAGTCAATAGCATTCTCCTTAACCAGGCCACATCACCAAGACTGTCCAAACTATCACTGCGAGAGACCAAGTATTCAAATGTCCTACATATGGGGAAGATCTCACGCAAATCACACAGGAAAACCTTGACATTAACAATGAAAAACTGTCATTGCCATTATGCTAAATTCCAAGAAAAAAGTTCCAAGCCAGATGCCCCACAAAGCAATTTGCTAACTTGTAAGAATTGCATGTTCTGTAACTTTATTAGTATGTCTTTAAGAAAATCTTAGCATTTACAAATAATCCATATGGTGTAATGTTGCAACTGGATACAAAGGGATGTTTTATTTTGCCTCAATTGTGTTGGGATTGTAGGTCTGCATCCCCATAGCTGGTCGAGAGAATGCCATCTGATATTTCAGCACGCCATTTAAATAGAATCAGCACTGTTGGTGAGAGGGAAATACACCTATGATTCCATCATGCAGTGATAGTTAATCTTCTGTTTAATTCTTAGCTTCATGAAGTTCATTTCAAAGTTACCTTGGTTGGCTGTAGTGGTGCATATTTTTAATCCCAGCAATTAGGAGGCAAAAGTGGAGGCAGGCAGATCTCTGTAAGTTCAAGGCCAGCCAGGGCTACACAGTCATACCTGCCTCAAAAACAAAACACCGGGCCAGGTGATACACACCTTTAACCCCAGCACTCAGGAGGCAGAGGCAGGTAGATCTCTGTGAGCTGGAGACCAGCCTGGTCTATAGTATGAGTTCCAGGACAGTCAGGGCCATTACCCAAAACACCAAAGTTACCTCAAGGGACTTAAAATGTAAAAATTAAAATGAGACATCCTGCTTGTATTTCTTGAGTGATGAAGTCTCTGTGACACCTGGATTAGGCAACAGGACTTTTTTTCCTGGTGAAGGTATCACACTGTGGAGACAGGGTTTAGCAGATTGCTTTGTGGGCCACATGGAATCTACCGTAATGACTTAACACGGCTGTTGAAAAGGTTAACGTAGCCACAGACTTGGTGGCTCTGCTTCTACAAAGCTGCGTTTACCAAGCAGGCAGACGTCCTGCATTGCTCCTGAGGTTCACTGACTGCTGGCACCAAGGAACAGAGTTCTGTCAATAGCACCAGGCCTAAGGTTCATTCTTAATTATATTTGGTTGCTACTTAATGGTTTTATGATTGAAAATGGAGGAAATAATGCTAAGGCAAGCAATTTTTCCTGTTATAAAATACTTTTTTAAAAGGATTTTGAAGTGCTCATATGTTTAGTTTTACTCCTAAGACAACTAAAACTACACTTGGAAAGGAAAGAACAAGATTACTGAACATAAACATTGCTTAACAAATGCTCTGAACTGGGTGTTGGTGAAGCACGCCTTTAATCCCAGCTCCTGGGAGGCAGAGACAGGTGGATCTCTATGAGTTTGAGACCAGCTTGGTCTACAGAGCAAGTTCCAGGACAGCCTCCAAAACTACACAGAGAAACCCTGTCTCAAAAGCAAAACAAAACAAAACAACCCCAAATGTTCTAAATCTAACTATGAGACCAATTCAGAAGGTGTTTTGGGTTTTCTGGAGTTCCCAGTGAGTCCTAAGAATCAAAAACCATGTTTCCTTTTGGCCTTTGAACTGGACTTGTGAATGTGACTATTTTTGGAAAACCATTTCTTTGTGTAAGTAATCAAGTTAAGGAGTCATATTAGAGGGCTGGAGAGATGGCTCAGTGGTTAAGAGCACTGACTAGTCTTCCAGAGGACCCTGGTTCAATTCCCAGCACCTGCATGGCAGCTTACAACTGTCTGTAACTCCAGTTCCAGGGGACCCGACAAAGAAACACCAAATGCACATTTTAAAATGTCCTATTGGATTAGAATAGACCACCAATTCAATGGCTGTTATCTTTTAATTTTTATTTGCAATAGGTATTCTGACTTCATGTATGCATGCTTACCATGAAATTACACACACTTGTGAGCTACCATGTGGATGCTGGGAATCGAACCTAGGACCTCTGGAAGACCAGTCAGTGCTCTTAACCACTGAGCCATCTCTCCAGCCCCAGCTGGTTTTTTAATTTAGTTTTTGTTTATGTCTGTGTGGTGTGAGTGTGTACCCACATGCCAGATTTTAACCCCTGTGTGGTTCTCAGGAGCTTTCCACCGTGTTTTTGGTAGCAGTGTCTCCCTGCAGCTGATCTCTTAGGCTAGGCTGCATGCCCATGGAGCCCAAGCATTGCTGGCCGTCACAGGAGCTACACAGAGGCGAGAGGCTCTGCTCTAGAGCTTGCAGCTTCTGTGACTGAAAGTATTGTTTCTGTAGTTTTGGCTGCCCACGCTGTGGTCATTTGCTATGAGAGCCCTGTGAAATATAGATCTGAACTCCCACCACTGTTAGTAGAAGATGGTTCAAGGGTCAAGTTGGGATACATGAGCTGTCAATTCCACCATTCTGGAAACTGGTGCAGGACACCGAATTCCTAGCTAAGCACTAAACACGAGCTCAATCACACCCCTATGCTTTGCACAAAGCGGATGAGATAGGGCCGTGTTCTGAACTACAGGTGTGCCGTGTACTGAACTACAGGTGTGCGAGGTCCGTTCATGGCCCAGTGCTCAGGCTTCTTTCAGATGCTGCCTTAAAGGTACCGGGCTGGGAAGTGCACAGCGAGCGAGGAGGCAAGCGATAAACCACCCATCGGGAAGAGCGCCACTCAGCTTACACCCCAGTCCTCGATCTGACGCCACTTTCCGTGTACATTCCACAGGAGCAGGGGGCAGTGACGTTAGGCTCACTGGGCACGCACTGGAGCTGATCGTGTTTGCTTATGCTCGGAGTAAGTTGCTGAAGATTTTAAACTTAGGAATAGGGCATTTTACTACCAAAAGAATGTGGATGGGGACCAGTGAAAATTTTAAGGAGACACACCGGATGTTGTTTTTATCATTAGAACATTCAACTTTCTTTCCTTAGAGTTAATAAGAGTTAATAAAGTCCTAAGTTTGCCAAACTGTTCTCTCCCCAATTGCCAAGGACAAATAGCTGGGCAGGGAGCTATCTCCTATAACTCCAGCCCTTGGAGCTGGAGGCAGAAGCGCTGGGTACTCTAGACCAGCAAGGGGGAGGGGGCTATCTGGACGCTGTGTTAACCCCTTCCAAACCGACAGACGGGAGGCACTTTACCAAAAACGACTGAGTTGTGTTGGGTCTAGAGAAGACAGGCAGAAGGAGCCTCTCTTGGGGCTGCTGGTTGGGCTCGTCCACCACTGCACTTCGAGCTCGGCTGGAGTCACCGTGGGGTTTCTGCAGAGGAGAAACAGCTAACAGTGTCGCGGTGCATGCTCCTCATCAACCCGTCCTACACCAGCAGCTGTGTGCCTGCTGCCAACAGCTCCAACGCCGCTGGCTGCCGAGGTCTAGGGACGGGTTTCTGTCGGGCGGAGGAAGAGATTTCAGGCTAGCGCGCACCGACGGAAGGGCTGTGTGAGTAAGACTTACTGTTGGCCGCTGTAGCCCCACGGAGCTCAGGTGCTCCACTTCCGCTGTGCCGATAGGTGGCAGCAGGTTGTTCCGACCCAGGGGCAGCGGTGAGGGAGAAGAGAGCGTGTCTGCCGACCCTGGACTGCGGAGCCCACCAGCAAAGCCGAGATGCAAAAGCAAAGTTGCAACAATGCAAGCAAATCAATGAGAAATGCCAGTAATCAAGTCGCTACGTCTAATGTACGCAGGGAGCCGTAAGCTACCTAGATTGTCAGAAAAGGGGAAGTAATTTTGGAAAGAAGTTTTTTTCCTCCCTTAAATCTCACAAATACAAATCAGCAGAATCAGCAGAATCAACAGAATGATCTATCCAGTAGTTGTATTTCACTAAAACTTAAATAAAATTTTTGAATTGGATTTAAACCCAGAGACAATCCATTGTGTGACTACTTTATTATTAGTTTCTAGGCATAGCTTCAATCTTATATTCAAACTCATTCTTCATTACTCCCGCAACTATTGGGACTAGTTTCACCAGTTTCAGAAATTCTGCTTTTGAAACTCACACTCGGGATCCTCTGAGGATCTCTTCTGCAGGCCATGGCGTCCCGGCTCGAGAGTGGCTCGTGCTGATCGGGTGCAGGGTGCGGGGTGGGGGGTTGCGCCTCCTGGCGGACTGTGCTGTATATGACAAAGATGACGTACTAAGCTCCAGGGCTCGGTTTGGCCAATTTCGGTTTGAAAGGACGGAACTGGAGCCAGGCCTCAAAAGTAGCTTGTCATCAAGATCTCTAGTGGCCAAATCAGAAACCCACAATGAAAATCACTATGTAGAAGAAGACAAGGTTCAGGATAAAAAGCCTTAATCTAAGACATTCAGGGGAGAAAAGAGCAAAGTGGCTTCCAAAGTTACCTAGGACTCTGGCAGGAGGAGCTGTTTTTGAGATGGGGCTTCTGAGGTAGCCTGGCCTGGGCTGGAACTTGAGATACTTCTGCCTGGCCTCTCCAGTGCTTGCATTACAGCTGGGTACCTGACAATGACCTATCTCACTCGTAACATACTAGAACGGAGATCTGGGGAAATGCCACACAGTCACCTGTTCAGGTGTGGGGAAGGCAAGGCTGACAGGCACAGAGTCCTACAACAGTTGAAGCCCGTTCTGAGCTGAGGAAGTGTCCTCAGGGTTAGGTCTGAGGCGCCAGTGTGGCTCTCACTGAAATAGTGAGCTAAGTGTCTGGGATCCAACGCCCTCTTCTGGGCTCCGTGGACACTGTCCACACACGGAACACATGTGTATGCAAAGCATGCATACACACAAATAAAAACACGTCTTTAAAGTGCTGTGCTAATTGGAACCCACAGGAGTACTATTCGGTCCTGGAGTCCTTGAAGCGGGAACCAAGCAAAAGGCCCCTGCCACATGGTGCCCAAGGTGGTAAGAGCAGAGCTTATCCCTAGGCATAAGCGACTGAAGAGCGCAGCTCTCACATAAGCCTTCAGACAAACGTCATGCCTAATGCTGCCTACACATGTGCCAGTGGCCAAGCCTTCAGATAAACATCATGCCTAATGCTGCCTACACATGTGCCAGTGGCCTTGGTGTTTGTTTTACAAAGTCCCCAGGAAGTCTGATGGTTCTGAGACACCTAGGAGACAAAAGGGAGTGAGGGAAGGAGGTGAGCAGCCTGCCTCTACCGAGGGCTAATCAGCCTTGCAGGCTTGGGCTGTACCCTGGGCCTTGGTGTCTGGAGGATTTGGGAAGGAGAAAGCCCAGCTTTAGCCCCTGAGACTTAGAGATCTTTCTGGTCTTCCTAAGTAACCACTCACTCATGTCTTCTTTTTTCAATTCACTCTCACTATATTCTAATTAAAAAGGTGTGGACTTAGCCGGGCATAGTGACACGTACCTTTAATCCCAGCACTGGGGAGGTAGAGGCAGGCAGATCTCTGTGAGTTCTAGGCCAGTCTGGTCTACAGAGCGAGTTCCAGGATATCCAAGGCTACATAGAGAAACCCTGTCTCTAAAAACAAACAAACAAACAAGCCATGGACTTCAGCTGCTTTCCATCAGGGTTTTACCCTCTCAGCTCTGTCTGTCTGTGAGTTCAATCACCACCATCTTTTACTAGGTGACCTTTAAGTCAGTCTCCAAATCTGATCTCTCCACTTCTCTGAAGGTGACCGTCACTGAAAACAGAACCCAAAGAAACCATTTCCCCATAAAAGAAACCTCCTGAGCAGAGCTGACTTTGACTCCTGTCCCTACAGTATCCTGACCTCAGTCATTCTTCTTTCTTTGAATGGTGGGGATTGGACACTCGACAGACAAGTGTCTGCAGATGAGCTCTGAGTCCTTGTCCTGCACTAGTGCTGAGTGACGCCCTCACAACTCTTGCTCGACCTCTGGGGTAGACTCCTTACTCTCAGTTCCTTCTGCTGCACAACAACCCCTGACTCACACTGCGGAATACATCTGCTTCAGCGCCTTAAAAATGACAAAATGCTTACAACGCTTTTCTGCACAATAAACCCAGTGTAGAGAACCTAGGGAACACAGCATAGATAAATTACAGTGGCCATGCACAACTACATGGACAGACACCAATGTGGCATTCATAGCCATCCACAATCTGGTCACATTTATTAATTTCATGAATTCTTTCCAACTAATTTTACCATGGCCTATTTATATTCTACAATATTGTCAATGGTCTTTGATTAGAAGCACTGAAATTCTAAAAATTAATTCTTTTGTGAGACAGATGTTGGTGGTGCCTTTTGTCCCAGCATTTAGGAGGCAGGTGGATCTCAGAGTTTGAGGCGAGCCTTGTCTACACAGTGAGTTCCAGGACAGACAGGGCTACACACACACACACACACACACACACACACAGAATTCTTTTTTTTTTTTTTTTTTTTTGGTTTTTGAGACAGGGTTTCTCTGTGGCTTTGGAGGCTGTCCTGGAACTCACTTGGTAGTCCAGGCTGGTCTCGAACTCACAGAGATCCGCCTGCCTCTGCCTCCCGAGTGCTGGGATTAAAGGCCTGTGCCACCAACGCCCGGCTCAGAATTCTTTTTCTGTTAAGTGTATGGGTTGTATGGGTGCATACATGTCACAGTGCATGTATGAAGGTCAGAGGATGGCTTCTGAGAGCCAGTTCTCTCCTTCCAACATGTTGGTCCCAGAATCAAACTCAGGCTGTCAGGGTTGGTAGCAGCACCTGCATCCACCAAGCAATCCCTCTGGCCTGAAAGTATTAAATATCTGACGTCTTGCAAGATGGTCTGCTCTTTCCGAAGGGTTTAATATGGTTCCAGCTCCACTCTCTTCACACAGCGTTCTCCTCACCTAGAATAGCCTGGTAGTTTTCTAAGTCCCTAGGCATGGACTCATCAAAGTGCCTTCTCCTTTGGGGCCACACAGCTGTCCACTGGCCAGCACTTACATGACACTCAGCCGCACAGTGCTGTATGTGGCCAGGTCCTGGACCCTCCCCTTACATGCTTCCTCCCTGGACTGTCTGCCACTCAGTGGCATGGTGGTGACATTCTGCTGGAGCGCTACAGTAAATGAAAAGCCAAACTTCTTACAGGAGCTTATCCATCAGGGAGAGGTTCCTTGGCTGTAGAGGCATTCCGTGAACCAAGAGGCCATTCACATTTGGCTGGTGACCATTTGCTTGACAGAAATTCATCTATGTGTCAAAAGCAGACATTGGTGGGTGAAGACACCTGCTCCATTCACCAAGTTCACAAAGCTAGTATTTACAGTTAGGTTACTTATACATTCCCCCACTTTGTGTCTTAACTTTTAGGACAGTTGGCCAGTAGCCCACAAAGTGCACTGTCAAAAGAACACGGTTCTTTTCTTTGTTCTGTATGTCTATGTGACAGCTGATGGACACACATAAAATTAATAACCACTCTCATAGGGCAGAGAAAAGCATTATGATTGCTTATAAGAGAAAAGAAAACCTAAACAGTAGCCACAAGCAAATTTTGTAACAACAGAAAAAAAATACTGGTCTACACAGTGAAACTACCTCTTAACATGACTACGTGACTATGTTGTTATGAGCCTTGCCAGAAATAATACACCCAAAGCGAACACCTGGGAAAGCTTCCTCTGGCAAGGACAGTTGTGGGTTCTCACGATCTGCTCTGGGGCTTACCGGATTTGAGGTGATGGACAGCGCCTTGGACTGTGGCACTCGAGGTAAGACCAAAGGGTGATCTTCGTTCAGCATACAGGGACTTCCTGAATCCAGTCTGGTGACTTCAATGTTACTCTCGTCATCTGAACAAAGGAACAGAATCTATTATCCATGGGTGTCCACTGATTAGAGTGCCGAGAGACAATCGCCCTGACAGCTAGCAGTCTCTACAGCCTGCACGCACGCTGCAGCTCAATGCATACAGCTGCACGGTTAGAACCCTCAGCCTGAGAGCTCAGTCTCCACAGCCTGCACGCACGCCTGCAGCTCAATACATACAGCTGCACGGTTAGAACCCTCAGCCTGAGAGCTCAGTCTCTACAGCCTGCACGCACGCTGCAGCTCAATGCATACAGCTGCACGGTTATGAACCCTCAGCCTGAGAGCTCAGTCTCTACAGCCTGCACGCACGCTGCAGCTCAATGCATACAGCTGCACGGTTAGAACCCTCAGCCTGAGAGCTCAGTCTCTACAGCCTGCACGCACGCTGCAGCTCAATGCATACAGCTGCACGGTTAGAACCCTCAGCCTGAGAGCTCAGTCTCTACAGCCTGCACGCACGCTGCAGCTCAATGCATACAGCTACACGGTTAGAACCCTCAGCCTGAGAGCTCAGTCTCTACAGCCTGCACGCACGCTGCAGCTCAATACATACAGCTGCACGGTTAGAACCCTCAGCCTGAGAGCTCAGTCTAAAGTGGATTTTCAGGCTGATGATGGCTGGCGGTGCCACGTCAGGGAAAAGCAAAGAGCTATGACTGAACCTTTGGGAATGATGGAGTGTTTCATGTCAGTGCTGCCCAGTGCGGTGGCATAAGAGGTGACGCCATGGAACACTTAAAACGTGGCTACTGTGACTGTGAACACCATTTTTAAAGTTAAAGACGACATGTTGCTAGTGACGACTGTAGAACTCTAGAACCTTCAGATCATTACTCCTGAGTCAGTTCCCATAGACCATCAGTCCTCAACCTGTGGGTCTCTACCCCTTTGGAGTCTAATGGCCCTTTCATAGGGGTCACATATCAGATATCCTGCATAAAGATATTTACTTTACATTAACAAAATTAATTATGAAGTAGCAATGAAAATAATTTTATGGTTAGGGGGTCACCACAATGTGAGGAATGGTATTAAGGTGTCAAAGCATTAGGAAAGTTGAGAACTCCTGCCATAGATAATGCCCTGAAACTGGAAACCATTAAAAATCTTGTTTTCTACACAGAGTTCAAGCGCCCCAAAAACAGCAAGTGGGACAGCACTGTTAGCTCTGGAAAGACTTCCAGTACTGGGATGTACAGACAGCAAATACAAAGCTACGGTTTTTCTAAAAAAAAAAAAAACTGAAAATATGAGTAAGTGCAAAATATAAAAAGAAGCAAATTTTAAAAAGAGCACAGTATATCTACAAAAGCCTCTAAACTGAAATTTAAGCTGAGGCAAGAAATGGTGAGCTAGGAGGGAAATCTGTGGCTGCAGAAATGACTCAGCTGTTAGGAAAGACACGGGCTGTTCTCTGGAAGGACCCACATCAGAACTTACACCCATCCACAGCTCTAAGGGTTCCCATAGCCTCCTTGAGAGTCTGCAGCACCGGCACACCTGTGTACACACACACAGACACACACACACACAGACACACACACACACACACACACACACACACACACACACACACACAAATAAAAGTAAATCTAAAGGGAAAATCTGCCAGGCAGCGGTGGCTCACACCTTTAATTCCAGCCCTGGGGAGGCAGAGGCAGGAGGATCTCTGTGAGCTTGAGGCCAACCTGGTCTACAAATTGAGTTCCAGGACAGACAAAGCTATATAAAGAAACGCTGCCTCAAAATACCATAAAAAGCTGCTTTATTCTGTATGCAACTATGCCTTAATTTAAAAAATACACAAAAACATTTTAACACACAATTAAAGCTTGAAGAACAGCACTGATAAGATTGGGCACAGGAACTTGTGTCTGGGCAGTGGGAAAACAGACTCACCTTCATTCTGGATAATTCTTGTCTAGTGAGCAGGGACCAACCTATGGTTCCTTCGTAAGCATATCGAAAACGTTACATATGTATGGCATGAAATATGCAGGAATGTTTGTAGCAATATTGTCATAACTGCCAAATTACACTTTAGTACATATGGAACTGGGATTAAAACTTTTGCATTACATTTATTTATTTGTATGTGTATACTTGTGCCACGGTGCTTGTACGGAGGTCAGAGGACAACTTGACAGCTTGCTCCTCCACCAGGTGGGCTCTGGGGATGGAACTCAGGTTGTCAGGCTTGGCAGCAGCTTCCTTTACCCTCTGAGCCTCACCACTGGGATTTCTGAGCTTTTCATCGTTAAGCACAACTAAAAGTGAACTGGAGGATAAATCATGTCTCTGAATGAAACCAGAATGAACTCTTGTAGTTGTCATTGTTTGTAAATCATTTCCATTATCTTCATCTGGTTCACTGTCTAATTCAGAGATGGTTCACTTTCAGAAACAATTATTGTGAAGCTCGTTTCCCCATTAGCAAATTAGGGATAAAATCATAATAATAATTTAAAGCTGAGTATTTTCTTCCTAATTTAGATTTCAAAGCCTGTCTCGATTGAGGATTAAAATGATCACAAACACCAGCTGTGCAGTCTCTGAGAGCTCTAGTGAGTTCTATGCGTCGTTTGCACCAAAGCCCCAGAGTGCATCAGGTGAGGGCTGCAGAGTGTGAGCTCTGCGTGCAGCAGACACTGAGGTTCCCGGGAGGAAGAGCGCTTTTTATACACCGCATTTGTGAGAGATAGGAACACTGGTACATTACTCAGCTGAGGTTCCCGGGAGGAAGAGCGCTTTTTATACACCGCATTTGTGAGAGATAGGAACACTGGTACATTACTCGGTTGTATATTCTTTTGGTTCACAGAAAAATATAAAGCATAACAGACTATCACAGGACTAAATTGCAGGTTGGCTTCTGTGCTGGTGAGTTTTTTGTCAACACAAACTAAGGTCACCTAGAGAGAGGGCACTCGGTTGACAAACTGCCTTCATCTGCCTGACCTACAGTCAGGACTGTGCGACTTTTTCTTGAATAATGCTTGATGTGGGTGGGTCCTGCCCATGTTGGATGGTGTCACCCCAGGCGGGTGATCCTGGGGTGTGCAAGAAAGCCGGTTAAGAGCGCTGGCTGCTCTTCTAAAGGACCCAGGCTTGATCTCCATCACCCACATGATGGTTCACAACTGTCTGTAACTCCAGTCTTGGGGTCCAACACCACTTCCTGGTCTCTGCAGGCACTGCACACCCACGGTGCATAGACAGACATGCAGACAAATCCTTTACACATAAAAATAGAGGTGGTCGTAAGCCGCCACATGGGTGCTGGGAGTCAAACCTGTGTCCTCTGCAAGAGCAAGGGCTCTTAACTGCTGAGCTGTCTCTCTGGCCCCAGACTTAACATTTGTTCTGGGTTCAAAAACCCTCATTAAAAGCAACCCACCTCACGGTATTTAGTTAATTTAGGTTTTAGAAACAGGGTTTTATGTAACCTAGGCTAACCTTCAATTCCTCATCCTCCTGCTCCCATCAAGTGCTAAGATTATATGTACACACCACTACACGCTGATTTGGTTTTTATTGTGTGTGTCTGTGGGGGTGAGGAATGGAGCATGAGCATGTGGGGGCAGGCAGGCATTGTCAGGGCATGTTTGCAGAGGTCAGAGAGCGGCTCTAAGGATCAGCTCTTTCCTTCTTGTCGCCTCATGAGACTGGGGGATTGAACCAAGCTCATCAGGCTGGCATGCAAGCATCTCTACCCGCTGAGCCCGCTCACTGGCCCTGACCAGGTCATTTTAATGAAGAGTGTCAGTCCTGTTCTCTTCTCTTGGGTTTCAGAATGGAATGCACATAGACAACATCAGACACAGTAAAGGTTGGGTGACTGGAACTCACAGTATCTGAGAGTGTGCATAGGCAAAGTCACATTAGAAACATTGTGAGGGAGATGATGTCACTGACATGGGCAGTTTATCACATGACCTACCAACTCTATGCATATATATATATATATATATATATATATATATATATATATATATATAATACATATTCCTCCAAAAGACACATGGAGAGATGTTCCTAACAGCACTTTATGCAGAAAAACATAAACTACACAAATAGTCATCAGCAGTAAATATAATGCATACTACACAGCAACGAAAAGTAAAACTGTTATAAGCAAACATAATAATCTGGTATTAATCCATTCTTACCAATGTTTTGAGACAGGGTCTCACTTTGTTTCCCTAGCTGGCCTCGAACTCACTGAGACCCTCCTGGCTCTACCTCCCAACCACTGAGAGTAAAGTTATACAGCACCACCATACCTGGCCTAGGGGAAGCCACAAGACATTGGCTTTCAAGACAGTGGATAATGGATAATTAAAGAGTAATTCTTGGAGATATAAACTAATGAGACATGCTTTGCAATTACCTAAGTTGGTTTCCGAGATCAAAAATTCAAAGACACGGAAGAGGAAAATACAATGAAGAGGACATCAGTAAGCAAAGCCAAAGTGAGTAACAGGTTTCCACGGTATTCTGCATCTCCTCCTTTTCGTCAGGGTCTCACTGTGTAGCCCAGACTGGTCTTGAACTCAGAATCCTTCTACCTCAGCCTAGAGTGTTGGCATTAGAGGCGTGTGATCAAACACCCAGCATTGCTTGCTCTACTTCTTCACAACATTAAATGGAAGTGTGGAAGCATCAAGATCGTACAGATAATACTTTGAGATCACAATGGCTGGGATGAAAAATACAGTAAATAAACTTAATAGGACACTTAACATCTCAAACAAAATTGATGACCCAGAAACATAAATTATCCAAAATTAAATAAAGAGAAAAAAGAAATCTTGAAACAAGGTTGGAGTTTATTAAAAATAACAAATTTAGGGGGAGTGGGAAAAAATAACAAATTTATACTGGGTGGTGGTGGACGTATTTAATCCCAGCACTTGGGAGGCTGAGGAAGGTGGATCTCTGTGAGTTTGAGGCTCAAAAGCTACACAGAGAAACCCAGTCT